AAATACTGCTGAGATTTGAAGATGAGTCAGACAGCCCTACCCGCACACTTTTTGGTTCAGTGGGGAGGACATCGACATAAATCCTAGGAACGAGTGGTGTGAAAGAGGAGGGACCAGAGCGGAGAACATACTGTTGGTGGCTAAGTACAAAAGTAGCCACTCCCGATTCCAGATAAGCAGTCTCGATTCTGTTCAGGGACGCATGTGTGTGGTATGTGGGGAGAGAGGATTCATTTCACCATTGCACGATAACAGCTTGTGTAAAGATGGACCCGCTGTGCTGCCAAACGAAATCTCACATAAGTCAAACCTTAAATGCAGTACAGTATTTTTCTTTGTAGGCTTTGACTCTTAACACATTTGCCCCCTACCAGTCAATCCAACAGAGAATGCTTGCATGCTTGATTCCTTTTTTACCTAGTGGCACTAGCATGTTTGGGCAGGTGAAGTGGTAGAATTCATGTGAACTTCCTAGGGCATCAGGAGAGAAATGTTAGAAGACTTACCCATGGGGCTGGGGGTGGTATAGTGCTTGCCAGCATTCGTGAGGCCCTGGATTTGATCCCCAGCATCACAAAGGAAACAAATGTATGTGTAACCTTAGTGTTGATCTGGAGGTCAGCCTCAGGTTGCCATATTTTAGAAGGAAAAGATATTAATAACTAGCTAAACTAGTTATGTTTATGTGTATGGATTATAACTACACAGCCTCCCTAGGACTGGGGTACATGAATGTTTCAGGGTCACCCAGGGAATATTTCGAAGCTACAGAAATGTCTTTCTGGAACTTGTAAACAATTCTGGTGGGTAAATCCTTTATTGATTTTGTGGCCTAATGCAGAAGAAACTGACTGTGACAGAGAAGATGCAAACTAAATAACTGTCTTCACTGGGTATCTCAAGTGCTTTGGCTGAAGGTAGAGTAGCACATGACTTTTGTAAAAACAAATCTGGATGCTGCAGTGTGTGGTGACACTTTCAGAGACGGAGGAAGAGGGTCTCAAGTTTGAGCCCAGCCTGGACAACTTAGCGACTTAGGGGAGACCCTGTCTCAAAATTTAAAAAGGGCTAGGGGTGTTGCTATTTTAATTCTAATTAGTAAAGAATTGTTTGAATTATAAATTAGTATTGATTTTATTCAGTCATTCTATTAGTATTTTAACACTCTTACAGTATCAAAGCATCCTGTGCTTGTGTGCTTGCCCTGCCCTCAGCCTTCTGCTGCCCTGTGAAACCCACACCAGCAGCAGCACTGCCCTGCAACCACCCCACGGGACACATCTGAAACCCCAGAACTCAGAAATTCCTGAACCTGTGCCTCCAGCGAAGGAGTGGAGGGGGTAAGGAGCCTGGGAGAGTGTTCAGAAAACCAGTGCCATTTCAAGAAAAATGACCTGTGGTGCTGTATGCTCCTCTCTCTAGCCAGGTCCTTAGAAACTGCCACAAACAGAATACCTTGCACAGATTAAATTTTACTTCACTTTATTATCTGATAGGCAATTTGATATGTAACACATGCAAAAACACTTGAAATTTAAGGGAAAGTTTTTTCATCCATTTTAAAATATGAATGATCAAGAATGTAATTACTGCTCCTCTCAGAGTAAGTACAGGACCTTATTTTTTTCCCCAGTAGGAGGTCAGCAAGTTAGGAGAGAAGATGAAAGGGGAGGAGTCCCTGGTTTAATCCCAACAGACCCCCCTGGCCAGGTCCACAAAGGGCGTGAACATGAGCTCATTGCAATGCTGAGGGTTGGATAGGAATTTGCTTTGTATCCACAGCCAGTCAAAACTTGACTAATAATATTTTCAACAAAAAATTTACCCTTTGCTTTCTCCAAAAATGGTCCATTTTATTAGTTACTTCTATAAATCTTCTAGAGAAAGATTAAGATCCTAATCTACCAAAATATTTACCTTAAAAATAAAACTTAGGGTAAAGAAACTGTCCACAGCTATTTCACTAAACTAAGTGCAACTCAAATTCGAAGAGCACAAAAAAGGTTTTCAAGTTCCTAGCTTACCACCCAGGCCTTTTACCCACCTTTGTACACCCTACAAAGTCTCCTACAGCTTGTGCACTATATAGTATCCCACCAGACACACACACACACACACACACACCCCAATATTGTTGATCCATTAGGTTTGTTTGGGAGCTACTTACACTGTGTGAGTTGTGGTCTCAAATTACTGTTTGCTCTTTTAACTTCTTAGAAGGATAAACAGTGTGGAAACAAAACCAGTAGTAAAAGAAACTGGCATCTGACCTACTCTTTAGCTGAATAATTCCTCTTATTCAGAGTCACACATTTGTTTTTTGTGATGGACAAAGGAAAAAAAGTAATATACTACCATATTATATCTTAAAGCTATGTTTTCTGCTCTCAGTTTGAATGTCGAACAGGTGGGCTTCCATTTATAACTAACACCAACCAGTTTTCTAAGCACTGAATGGGTGGGAAACTAAAAAGATCCAGTGGAAGATTTGAGTGGAAGCTCATTGTGGTATATAGTATTTCTCTCTTTGTCTCTTCCAGCCATAGCTTCAAACACAGACACACACAACACACAACACACCCAACACACGCACCTTAAAGGCAGAAAATGGACAATTCGCTCTAAATAAACACAGGCAGGTACAGACAAAGTTTGTCAGGTATCCTATTGCTTCATTCCTATAGTTAGGTAAGAGTTGCTTTTAATCTCTTGCCCCTAAGATAGGGGACTGTTACTGACAACTACCTGCACATACTTCAGGCAAGGGGAGACTGTTGACACTGCCATGGATACTAACGTCACAAGTGAAAACTTTACCTATTTAAAACTTTCAGAAATAACTACTTACTGCCCAGGAAAAAAACCTGCCCTTTTAACAAAGCCTAATCATTGTTTACAATTTTTAAGTGCAACGTACTACCTATTTAAATTTCTTAACCTGCAAAAATAAAATATATTGTCGGTTCAAAAGTTATTTGGAAAATTACAGGAATGTGATACTTGCATTTTGCCAACAAGGTGTTTGATGCAAAATTGCATTCATAGTGACGGTAATAATTCTGCTGATTTTGTTTGTTCTTTCCACTCCTGGAAGAGACCAATCACAGTCTAACAGCTTCTCTTGGCCATGGCTGTTGCTAGAAGGTGGATTGGTCTGAGCTGGCTGTCCATTTGTTTGCAGTTTCCAATTTTAAGAGGCAAACAACCTATAATCTAAACACTGAACAACAGATCCCATCAGATATGTTTTAAGATGGATAAAGATGAAAAGATTAAGTAAATCTCAGTCTGTGTCATAAAAAGAAGGAAAAGCAGAACTGGAAGGGAGGATGGGAAATCTCAGAAAGAGAGAGAGATTTAATGTCAGTTGGTTTCTTCAGTCCTATGCCCAGCCCGCCTGGTTTCCATGCTTTCCAGGCCCATGAAGTCAGCTCATAGACGAAATTTACTTTAAATCATCAAACACGTGCGTTTCAGAACTGTAAGCTGTTCTTTAGAATGGATCCTGAAGCTGGCTGCAGTCTGGTTGGAAGGCTTTGTTTAGTAGTTCCCCAGGACAGATTCAAATACAAAAGACTGGAAGTAGAAGAAATGGAGAGCTTCTCAGGGCTGAGGAGGTGGAAGGAAGGAGACCGACAAGGAACCGGGTGAAGGGGTGGCAGTTTGCAGAAAGGACGGCGTGGGAGAGGGAAGAGCAAGCTGAAAGGAGGGAAAACAGACGCCCACCCAGGGCTTGCCTAGCACTGCCTGGGCCTCACCAAGGACCTGACACGCTCTCCCGGAGAGCAGCAGGGCCGGGCCAGGGGCACTGACTTCCCGTCCATCAGCTGCAGCCTTCCTTGAAGGGCACATTTTTGGGATCTAGATGCATGGAAACTCTTTGCTGGCAAGTACAGGCTTAGGTGAGAGGAGAGTGTGGTTCACAAGCAGCATATTAGTCCTGCAGCTGAGGAATGAATGTTTTATAGATTTGCAGCCTTTGATCCAATCCATCAAGATATGAACCCTGAGAGTTGTGCTCTGCCTAGTTCAATGATCTGTTGACTGCTTAAATATGCACAATTTGAAAAATAAGTCCAAATAAGCACGGCCCATTGGGGGCAGCATGCCCTGCCACTTGAGTGATAGAGGCCGCAGATTACAGGAAAGGGAGGGGATTAGATCGAGAATGGGCCCTCACGTAGCCTATAGAATGCGGTGATGTGATGAGATCAGGCTCACAGAACCAGTGCTCTAACAGTAGCTTCAGGTGGAGTTAGGAAGGAAAGGTGTCAGAAAGTACCCTGACCTAGAGGACACAGGTGTCCAATTTAGCTTCTCCAAGCTAGAAAGTACAGAACGCAGCATTTCTAGGATTATCCTAAGACTCAAGATGCCTGATACATGGCCAACAGGAAATACATGTGAGTCAGTTCCCCTTCCTTCAGTGGACGTAAACTAGATACGAGATATTGGGAAATAACAGCAAATTTGGCTGTGTGAACACAAGGAAGTTAAGAGGGAAAAGGCCCAAGGACAAGCTAGTATTTCAAATTTTAAAACCAACTCTTAGAAAAAGGAGACAAGGATGAGTTGAAGTTGACACACTGAATTTTGCTACAAAAACAACAGGGATTAAGGAGGCCTGACAGGTGGAATCCAGCTTGGATCTACTCAGGTTTCACACCCTTCGTTCTTCCGGGATGATTCCGAGGAGAGAGGCACCCAGCACTGGATGAGTGCTGATAGACTTTTGTTTCAAAACTCCCTCACAAGTTGCAGCTTCAGGGCCCACCAAACGAGGCTGAAGTCAGAAGGCAATTCCTGTGGGTTAATCATAGGCAATGGAAGACCAAGAGTTAGAGCTCTGTGGCTGTCATCAAAGGAAAAGAAAGGTCAGCAGGGAAACAGAAGGCCCATGGGCTAGGACGCTGACTGGAGATCAAAGTGACCAGCGTCAGGGGATGGGCCACCTAACTTGACTCCTTAAAAATGACCTTTTTGGGGGAGATAAGATCTCATTATATTATCTTCACTGGCTCCACCTCCAGGGTTCACGCGTTCCTCCTGTCTCAGCCTCCCTAGTGGACAGGACTAGAAGCATTGCGCCATGCATTGGTCTAGAAAAATGGCCCTCTTCGGAGAGCACATGCTCAGTACATTTCTGGGAAGCAGGAGTACAGGACAGCGGGGTGCAGGACAGCGGGAGACAGAGCGGGCCGCGGTGTGGAACCACCACCTGACGACGCTCTGGTAAAAGAACCGAGGGCTGCCATCCCTGCCTCTGTGGACCCTCTAACTTTTGCCTGTGTCGTCGATTCGGGGTTAATGTCGGCTTCCTGAGCACGGGGCTGTCTCCTCTCGCTTTCCCCTTCCGGAAGTGTGCTGCGGCCTTAGTTGGGTCGTTTCTTTTCTTTTCTTTTCTTTGAAAGCGAAGCCGGCCCGGGCGGCCCGTTCTGGAGTTCTGTTGGTTGGCCGGCTGGTGGCGGTGAGTTTCTCTCTGCCGGCGGCTCTCGCCCGGGGTTCGGGAGCTGATCCCGGAGCCCAGCACTGAGGACCAGGGCGGAGAGGCGCAAGTCTCGGGCGCAGGGCCCGGGAAAGCCCTGCGCGGCGATCAGGGACAGAGGCGGAGGTGGCGATGACTTCACCGCCAGGCGCCTCCCCACCGGGCAGCCGCAGTCGGCGCAGCCGGCTTCCCCGGGATAACTTTTCTCTGACGACTCGCTTCTCACTGCCTGGCGTCACAAGTCACTGAGGGGAAGAAGAGCTGCGATTAGATTGATTTCTGCTTCCTCCGACGAGAAGTGGGAGGAGCCCCTCCCGGGCGGCGTCCGTCCCTCAACCGGGAATGGAATCCAATGTCAAGCCTTTACCATTTTCCTCTTTAATAAAATCGAAAGGCTCCTGTTACTATGATACAAGTTGAAAACAAGCCGCAAAACTACGGCTTGGCAGACCCGGGAGGCGCCGGCCTTCGGGGGACCGCGTGTGCGCCCGGCGTGGGCCGGCGCGGAGTGCGCGGCCAGGGTGCCCGGGACGCTGCCGCGGAGGCTCCTTTGTAGAAGGCGCCGGGCAGCCTCAGGCCCCGGGTCCCCGCGCAGGTGAAGACGACCGCGGCGGCGGCGCGCTCCTAGGGGGGATGCGGCGCGGAGGAGGCGGCCGGGCGGGAGCAGCGGGGGCCGCGGCTTTGTTACCTGAGGCGGCGGCCCCGCCCCGCGCGCCGCCCTGCCCCCTCGCGGTCCGGCCCGGCGGGGCCCGCAGTGGCCGGGCAGAGGCGGCGGCGCCGGAGCAGCGCGGAGCGGGCACGCCGGCCGCGGTGAGCGGGACCCTGGGCTCGGGAGGGCCCGGGGGAGGCGCGGCCGGGGAGGCGGGATGGCTCCGCGGTGACTTTGGCGGCCGCTGGCACCTGGACTGCGCCTTCCTCAGACCCGAGCGCATCCCGGCCGTCGGGGCTGGCGGGAGCCTGGGTGCTCGGGACCCAGGACTGGCCTCGCGACTGTGGGTGCCGGGTTGCGGGGCGGGGCCGGGCCAGGGCCGGCGCGGCGCCGAGCACCGCCGTTCCGACTCTTGCACACTTTCCCTAGAAGCTCCTGGTCCCAGTGGCGCCCGGTGCTTGCAGGTGACGGGGAGGAAGCGGGTGGGCCGGGGAGCCCCGGAGACAGACGCGCGGCGAGCCGGGCTCCAGAGGCCGGGATTCTGCCGTCCTACCGCTTTGCCCTGACGCGCGGACGCACAGACGCAGTGTGTTTTCCCGGCGCCCGCGATCCCGACTGGCGACGCGAGAGGTGTCGCCGCGCAGGGGAGGAGGGTCGCACTTCGGGCGGCTGCTGCAGACCCGGGGTCCGAGGACGGGACCCAGACGCCTCCCCTAGTTAGTCCCCACCCCACCCCACTTCGGGGAGCCTCATGTGGCCCGGGTCAGGGGCGGACGCGGGGACCGGGACGAGCGGAGGGGCCGGCGGAGCCCAGCGGGCGCAGTGGCTGCTCCGCGGGCCTCTGCGGGAGATGGCGGGGGTCGAGCCCTTTCCCGGACCGCCGGCCGCCGTGTCCCCGCGACGCGAGGGGGCGTCTGTCCTCGCCGAGACGCGCTCCCGCCTGGCTCTGCCCTCCGCCCGCCACGCGTCGCCCCCGAGCCCGGGGCGCAGCCGGTGGCCCTTTGGTGAGGGGTGGGGCTGGACGCGCAGTTGGGGCCTGAAGGAGGCGGTGGACCCACAGCTGGCCCGCGGCTGCAAGAAATCGCGCCTCGGTGCCCCCCGCGCCGTTTCTTTAAGAGCCAGCGGCCGGGTTCAGACTTCGGTTTGCACTGAATCCCGCCCTAAGGCGGCCGTGGCCCCCTCTGCCGACCCAAGGTTGTCTTCCCGGAATGAGTAGCCAGTGCGTCCTCCCTCTCTCGGGAGCATCCTTTGGCACGCGTATGCTTTCTCTCTCCCCTTGGTTTTGGGACAGTGAGAGAAGAAGCTGAAAACGTGCGTTCAGAAACAGGCGCGCAGGGGCAGCCGTGAGTGTTTCCGTGATGTGACAGTGAAACGCTGGGGGAGCCCGTGTCCTGGGTTCCTTCGCTGCGGGTGAGCGCCAGGGTGGGCGTCCCAGCTCGGGTTCCACTGTGGCTTCAGAGATCGCAGTGACGTCTCCAGAGACGTCAGGAAAACGGAGGGACAGCAAAAATTCCACAGTTTAGCACTGCCAGAGGTTTCTGCTCCCTCCCTTCTCCCTTCTCCTCTGCGTTGCTCAGCCCTCCCTCCCCAAACGTGGCTTGCTGTGCTCCCGCCCCTTCATCTTCAGAATCGTGTGGGCCAGCGCTTCCTCTCCCTGCCTCATCGGTGACATACGTCAGGAGTCAAGGAGAAAGCTCTTTCCAGCATTAGTTTAATTTTTAGGAAAACCCCGGGCTCTAAGCCCACCCTCCGGGCATCTCCTCTTAAATGTTCCCAGAGAGGAAGCCCGCAGCGCTTTGTCATTCACTCAGCCCTGTCTCATCTCCGTCCTGGTTAGCACTCAGAGGACTCGAAGACAAGTCCTGTCCTCAGAGCCTGACGGCAGCTCAGAGTACTGAGTACACAGCCAGCCTCCCTGCCGCTGAGGTGGGGGAGGCCTGCCATGGGGATGTCTCTCTCTCTGTCCTGGGGAGACTGATGAGACACTTGACACTTCCCAGACGGAACCCGGGCTAATCCTGTTGTCCCTGCTGACAGTTGCCAGCTGTGGGAACCAGGCCCTGAGAGTCCTCTTTTTCGGCGGTGGCATCACCTGAATTTTGCTAGTGCGCCTGGGTGTGCAGTCCCCTTTACTGTGGGCCGCTGTGTAGTGGATGGAATGTTCTGTTTCCTCTATTTTAACATCTAGTGTGACCACAGAAAGCTAGAGTTCTTTCTGCGCTGTTCTCTGCCTTCACCATTGGACACTGGAAATCCTGTCCAAGCGGAAGTGCCCTTCTAATGAGGGTAGTAAAAGCACTAGCACTGCTGCCTAGCATTGCTGGTAACTGGTTCTTCGGAAGCTGTCGGGGGTCGAGGACCCTTGTACCATGGGAAAATATTAGCCACACAACTTGTCGGGGACAGTGGGGTACATTTTCCTTTGTTCTTTTAACTGTTTGTTTTTTGAGACAGAATCTCACTATGTAGTTCAGTCTGGCCTTGAACTCAACATGTAGCCCAGACTGGCCTCAAACTCCTGGAGATCCTCTTTTAACATTAGCATTCTTTCTAAAGATGGAGTGGTGGCTAGGATCATGCCAACACACCTCTAACACACATCACATTGTACTTTGGCAAGCTTTTATCTGGTACAGTATTTCTGTCCAAAGCACGGTGCCCAAAAAGACTTGCATCTAGATACTGAGGCAACACTGATGGGTATTGCTTTCTGGGTAGGGGAATTTTTTTAGCTTAGCACCTTTTGGGAATTGAACCCAGGTCTCATGCATGCTAGGCAAGTGCTCTACCACTGAGCTACACCATTCTTAAGAGGGATAATTCAGCTCAGTGGTTTGGCCGCCTGCTGTGCAAGCGCAAGGACCCAAGTTCAATCCCCTGTACAAAAAAAAAAAAAAGAAAAAAAGAATAATACATAAATATGTCAGCATATCTGGAATTGAAGGTAAATTGGAAGATTAACAACTCTTCCATACATGATATTTTCTATACAGCAGTAGTTTTAAATATGTAAGGATAAACTGCCAAAATTACCTGTACAGTCTTGAAAAAAGAAGAGTTCAAATATAACCATAAACTGTAATTGACAGTGAGTCATTCGCTTTAAGGGTGCCAACCATGAAAACAGCCTAGTTATGCCCCTAATGATAATTATGAAAACTCCTTCTAAAAGCTAGTTGCATCTCAAGTGAACTGTCAGTTCGGATACACCTTTTGGATTTTACTTATTTAGAGTCTCTAGTAGGGATAGTTGTATCACAGTGTTATTGCACTTAATGCCTCTAAATTATACCCCAAAAAACTGTTAAATGGTAAAAAGAGAAGTATCCAGTTAATAGTTGGAAATGTTATTTTCTATTCATATAAAAACAATTTTCAAAACTTAAATTTTCAGGGGCTGGGGATGTAGCTCAGTGGTAGAATATGTGCTTAGCACATGTAAGGCCCTGGGTTCAACCCCCGGACCAGAAATAAAATTTAAAACCTTAAGTATTCAAATGTTTTATATTTGCTCTTATAATGAAACAATTTAATATGTAATCACTGAGTATTGAAAAAGTACAAATCTCATAACCTAAAAACTTCGATAGCAGAAAATAGAGATATTAAAAGTATATTTCTAAGCCAGACATGGTGGCTCACACTGTAGTCCCAGCTACTCAGGAGGCCGATGTAGGCAGATCATAATTTCAAAGTCAATCTGTGTAACTTATCAGACCCTGTCTCAAAGTAAAATTTTTACAAAAGCCTGAGGTGTAGCTGAGTTTTAAAGCACTCAACCTGGCATGTACAAGACCCTGGATTCAATAGTCAATGCTGAAATATATATATATGAAACAGTTCTAGCAGCCAGGAGTAACTTGGCATTTTGGCATTTTATTTATGGATCCAAACATTTTAAAGCAAATATAAAGCCTGTTGAAAATAAAGGGAAATCGTGTGCACATATGAGCAGTTATTCAGTTATTGTATGCCAAGCAGCCTGGTAAGGACTGTATGTATATTCGCTCATTTATTCTTATACAAATCAATGAAACTGGCATATCCTTGTTTTGTAGATGTAGATGCTGAAATGTAGGTTAAATCACCCACCTCTGCTCAGGTTGCACATCTAGGAAGTAGCAGAACTGTTCTGAGGAAAGGCAGTCTATTTCAAGAATCTCTACTCTCACTCCCAGGGCAATCTGCCTTTTTGGGGGGAGGGGTATCAGGGATCGAACTCGGTTCCTTGCTCTTGCGCAGCAGAATCCTGCCTTTTTATATGGTTCTATGCAGAGCGTTTCCTGCTGTTTGAATTAGCAATATCAGACAGTTTACCCATGTGTAATCTGGTATTGTTTAGCCAACCTGTGTTTGTAAATCTGGACTGTGACAGGAATGCTATAAAAGGACGGATATACCCAGAAGTCCCATGTAAAAAGCCCCTGCATATGGCACTCCGCAATCCAGAAAAAACTAGTTCCCTTTGCGCATTCCTGCATTCCTACTAGTGGGGTGCACTGTCCACCCACACCCCCTACACATGCTCCCCTGTACTCAAACTAGAAGAAAAGAACTTTTTTTGACCCTGTTTCCCATCAGGTCAGTAATAACTCAAAGCCAAAAAAAGCATTTAAAGTTCCATAAAGATAGGAATTACCGATGTGAGTGCGTGCATTGTGTGGGTAAGAAATAGACACGGGACAGATGTGATAGGGCTGGCGTGTCCGCGTGTGTATCTCTTCTTTGCTAATAGGGTCACAGAAGCAGAACGGGACGGGGCCTTTTCTGATGGTTTCCAAAGAGTGGCTCAGCTACAATGCAAAAGGATGATGGAGGTCATTTAACCTAACCATCCTAATTTTACAGATGGGAAAACTGAAGTCTTATGAGACAAAGTGACTTGTGTAGAATTGTAGCCAGTAAAGTTTAGACCTGGTGTAGACCTGGGACATGCAATCTCGTGCTTAACATTCTTTCCTCTCATTTTGGGGAAGCCATATCACGCAGAAGAACAGGAACCTGGTGACCCTGACTCCAGAGAAATGAGCTAGGCCCTTATTTTGTCATTTTGTCAAATGCCCCACCTGTTCTGTACAAGATGGAAGATGCCATTTGACCCAGTGATTGGAGGAGACGTGTCCAGACTGGAGAAAGGCAGGGTCACTAAATGTCTGATGCTTCAGCAATCTGGACAGTTTCCCTGGGGGTTGGGTATCCATCACCCAATGAGAATGAGCCAGTTGGCGAGCAGCAAGTTTCCTCATAAAGCAAGCAGTACTTGCTGAACCTATAGCGGGCTCTCAGTAAACACGTGCTTTATTGATTAATATTATTGCTGCTGCTTTGGCATTGTTTTTTTGATAGTAAAGTTTGGTTAATGTTTAGAAAGTGTTAGTTTCTTTTTGTGCCCTCTGGGATCGCCTCCTTAATTTTTATGTCCTTTCCTGCCATGAAGAGGATGGTTCTGGCTTCTGAGGGAGAAAGCCAGTGTGGGAACATTTACCTGGACTGATTCCAAACTTGTTTTATCTTGGCAGGTTTGGGAGCAAACACACAGTATAGTTGCCTTTTTTTCCTGGGAGCTGACTCGCCAGCAAAGAAGTACGACACAAGTCTGATGTTTGTGCCTGCCTCTCCAAGCCCAGGGAATCATCTCCTTAGAAGGCATCAGTACTATGCATGTTATGAATTGTGTCTCCCTGGCCAGTGATAAAGAAAATGGGAATATCGCCACAGCGGCTGGATTCATGATCGGGCAGACCTCACCTCCGTCTCCTCCATCTCCTCCTCCTCCTCCTCCCCCTCCCCCTCTGCCATGTCCCTGTTCTGGGGGAGACGGCCCCCCCTCCGCTCCCCCTCCCCCGCCACCGCCACTCCCCTGGGGGCCTCCGCCCTCTGCAGGACAGCCTCTGGCTCCTCAAGAAAACAGCTTTGGCTCCCTGGGGAAGAAGAAGAGAATGAGGAGTTTTTATTGGAACACCATCCCAGAGGAGCAAGTTCGTGGCAAGACCAACATCTGGACCTTGGCTGGCAGGGAGCAGCATCACTTCCAGATCGACACCAAGAGCATTGAGGAGCTCTTTGGGCAGCAAGAAGACATAGCCAAGGCTTCCGTCCCCAAGAGAGGAGGGACTCTGAATTCGTCCTTCAGGGACGCCCGAGAAGAGGTAAGACTGGCGCGTGGGACTGCACTCCTCATGCTGCTGTTATGTTGGTGATGGGTCACACGAGTGCCAGCCATCATTAGGAAATAAGAGAAGGCCAGGGGATGTGCCCTGCGATGAGGGACAGGGCGTTCGTGAGGAATCTGGGCTAAATTGTAAAGCACAAGGGGTGTGCATGCTGTATCCTTCCGGATGTCCAGGGGGACTGCGACCTCACACAGAGAGCATGCTAGCTGGAGGCCCTTGCTCTCTGGCCTCTCAGCACTGGCCTGTCTCTTGTGCATCTGCCGTAGTTTCCTGGGTGGAGAAGCTGCACTCCAGTGCAGGATTGTCAGTATCCATTGAAACAGAAACTTCGCTCTCCTGAACTCAGCCATCTGGGGTGAGCTGGAGGTGTGTGGGATCAAATGCCTCTTGTTAAATGACCACTTTTCACTCAACATGTGTTTTGAGATGGCCTTCATTCCTCAGATCTCTGAATTAAATTGTGGTCATGGTGAAAAAGAGACTTCCAAAGAGCAGAATCATAAAGCTGTTTTCAGAGAGGCTTTATAAGAAGCGTATTTCCAGTTAACACTAAATGTGTTACTTCAAGGGTGGGAAAATAAACTATTAAATGATGAAAAGTTCACTGAAAGCATGACCCCAGGGCTATAGATCACTGAATATTACAGAACCCAAAATTACACTTGTCAGTATTCTTAGTTTAGACACATGGTGGTAGTTAAAATACCTTCATTTGCTAATAAAAGTAGCTAGGAAGTCAAGGATTAGAAAGAAAGAATACCATAATGGAAGGAGGGAGGGGTGAGGGAGAGAGAGAAGGCAGCAGCATAAATCCTTTGTTTTTCAATCTGTTGCAAAGGAGCAGAGAAAATAGGTCATTGATGGAGCTGTCTAGATACCAGAGTGGGCAGGGCCCTGAGATGCAGTCTTTGCTCTATGCATTATTGAGTTCTTGAGCCAACAGTATTGACCTCTTTTCTCTCTGTGGCTCAGGAACATGCTAACTCGTCTTTACTGACTCACTCGAGGCCCTGGTAAGGTTGGTTGTGTGATTCCCTGTTGAATTCACTAAGAGTCTATTTATTTAAAAATGCAAGGAACACTGGGATTAGGGTTGTGTAATTGTAAAATAAACCATGCAGTGAATTGGAGAAGGAAACCATCAGCAAAACTGGGGGTGCCTTCGTCAGTGCTGAACACAGGCTTTCCTGTCTCTCCCTTTTGTGCCAAGGCCCATTTTTCGTTCCAGTGTCCTTTTGATACTGAAAGGAGCAAGAAGTCATTTCCTTAGTACCCTGGCCTTTGCCCCCGCTTCCAGCAGAGGTTCTTTATTGTACAGTGGGTTGTGTCTGGCTGATATGTCCCAGCTCTCCTTGCTGAGCTCGAGATGCGGAGGTTAGGATGGGGTGGGTGCTTGTGGGCATGGGCCTGTGTCTCGGGGAAGCCCTGGGATGGAAAGGGTTGTCTTGCCACGCCCCCGGGAAGGCCGTCAGCTGTGAGCAGGTGGCATCCTGTGGGAACTGGGAGAATTTCAGAGTACTGTGTGGAGATTGCTGCTTTGGGTTTGAGATTTGCGGCTGAGAATCCCTGAGAGAGGGAGAGCATTCTTTCCCAGCCGTGGCAGGAGCAGAAGTGTATCTGTGCTAGAACTGAAATTTAGAAAAATGTCTTTCTCCTTGCCTTCCTGTACCCTGGCTCCTTAGGTTGATTTTTCTTTCTTTTTTCTCCCTTTAAGTTCTGTTTGTAAGAGCTTTTTTTAAGAATTGTTTTTTTCCCCAGTGTTGGGGATTACACTCAGGGCTTTGCACAGGTTAGGCAAGCGCTCTGCCTCTGAGCTACATCCACGGCCCTAACATATTTTTTCATTGTAAAACATATATAGAGTTTACCACTGTAACCGTGTTTAAGCCCACGTCTCAGTGGTATTAAGTACATTCATGTTATTGTGTAACCATCTCCAGCATCTTCTCATTGGGCAGAACTGAAACTCCACCCAATAATCAACAGCTGCCCATTCTCCCCTCCCTTCACCCCTGCCAGCTCCACTGGACTCTCTGCTTCTGTGAATGTGACTCCTCTGGGAACCTCATATAAGTGGAATTGCACAGTATTTGTCTCTTTTGTGACTGGCATATTTCATTTAACATGATGTCCTAAAGATCATACATGCTGTAGCATGTGTCAAAATTTTAAGGCCCAATAACATTCCACTGTGTGTCTGTACCGTATTTTCTTTATCCATTCATCCACTGATGGACCGTTGTGGGTTGCCTTCACCTTCTGTGAATAATGCTGCTGTGAACACTTCACTCTTGGCACTTGTAAGACGTACTCCAAGAGACAGCATCCTGGAGAGAAAATCAGCATGACTGAGTGTCACAGGTTGGTCTAGTTCTGCAGCTCTGCTGTACTCAGTGACAAGTAGCTTGGACTGATCCTTTCAATCACATTGATCCAGAGAATGAAGGTTATCCCAAATTAGTCTCAGTATTTCATGTTATCTCCGGCACAGCCAGAAGTATTAGATAGACTTTTTCAGCAAAAGAATATGGAACATGCTATTTTCTTTCCTCATAGATTTCCTTCTAAAGAGGTCATAGCTCAGCAGTTATATAGTCTGACAAAGATCACTAATAAATCTTACAACTCACCCTGCAGTAAGTGGAGTCCAGGGTTGAAAGTAATAGTCCTCACCTCTGTCCAGGCAGCCTGGAGAATATGCTGAGCAGCAGGTTCAGCAGAGGGCCTGGTTCTGAGCCGGGAATCACAGCTCAGCGTGTCACAACACAGGCTGTAATTCCAGAGGATCAGATTGCTCCTGGTGCTGTAGTGGCCTCCCACAGAAGTGATCTAACTTGATGCAATTGGCTTATATTTGAAAGGGCTTAGAAAGCATTACAAATAAATTCCATTATATTCCAGAAAAAGAATTTCCTGCAACATAGGGAAGATTTGGGTATGGGAATGGCTGGGCTTAGAATAGCACAGAAAGTGGTAAATTTGAACATTTAGTCGTGGGAAGCAAGGTTGTGAAATATTACTGTCCTTGTATCTTTGTTACGTAAAAATTAACTTGCAGAGATTACAGGTGTGATGGCACAATGGTAATTAAGCGGTAATAGAGTAATTGGAGACAACAAGATGCATCTCCAGCGATCATAACGAAAGGACTCTGCTCAGAGTCACCTTCTCTCCCAAGTCGGCTGATCTCATCCCGAGCGCCCTAAGCGCCATGCATCCGTTACAGGTGTCCCTCAGTCCTCTCACTAGTGTGAGCCTCATCTGTATCTCTCTGTGCAGTCAGAGCAGCTCTCAAGGGCAGGGATGTGCCTTAACTACGTGGCTTCCTCCGAAAGGAGTTAAAGGGAACTGAGCAGGGCAGAACTAAGAAAGGGACTATCTTCCAGGCTGTCACGAGCTCAAGCTTGGGATTCACTGAGAGGACACGAATACTGAAGCAGGTGTGGTCATTCCCTGTGATGTGCGTAGCATGAGGCTAAGTGGACATTGATTGTATGAGTAACTGAAGTAGCTGACTGGAAAGAGAGAGAGGAGGAGAGGGAAGAGAAGGAAGGATGATAGCTGTTTCCAAAGTTATAAGAAGTGATGTTTTATTCTCCCACACTGTAGTGGAGGAATCATTTTCAACTATTGTTATGATCCCAGGGCTGTCCCAAAATTCTGGGGCACGCTCCAACCCAGACCTTCGGATCTAGAGTACTTGACTGATTGATTGATTGGTTAGTTGATTTTGCAGCACTGGGGATTGAACCCAGGGTCTTTACACTGAACTATATCCTCAGGCCTTTTAATTTTGAGACAAGGTCTCCCAAGTTGCCCAGGCTGGCCTTGAACTTGTGATCCTCTTGCCTCAGCCTCCCAGAGTACTAGAATTACAGATGTGTACCACCATGCCTGGCTTGAATTATTACTTTTCTAAATGAACTTCCAACTAGGCCCTTATTTTTCCCTAAAAGTGGGGGGAAAAAATGTCCAATAGCCAACCAAAAATAAAAAGAAAGTGAAAACCCATCAAAGACCAAAAGCTAAATCTATGTCAGATGATGGAGGAAGATAAATTTTTGCTTTTCAGAATTAGAAATCAGATTGAAGTCGCCCATGTTTCGTGTCCCCTTAAGAAAGTAAGAAATTCCCTTTGACATATTGAAACCAAGTACTTTAGAAAGCTTCTTCTACCTGGAGGACATCATGCTAAGTGAAATAAGCCAGTTGCAAAGGACAAAGTACGAGCCTACTTATAAGAAGTACTTTGATCAGTGACATTGGTAGAGACCGGAAGCAGAGGGAGGTGGTCGGGGGCTGGGGATGGGATGGGGTGTTGGTGCTTCAGGGGTACAGAGCTTCGGTTCTGCAGCATGCAAAGGTCCTGGAGAAGGAGGGTGGTGATGGCTACACAACAACGGGAATGCGGCTCGTTTCGCTAAACGTGCACTTCCAAATGGTCATGGCAATAGATGTCTTTCATAGTTTACCACAACTGAAAAGCATTTCTTCTTCCTGGGAGGCAGATTTTGAAGTCCAAAGAAATCGCAAGAAGTGTAGCTGTGGAACCTGGCTGAGCCCTTTCGGGTGGATAGATAGCAGCAAGATGTGGGGTGCAGCTGTTCATGCCTCGTCCCGAGTGGGTCAGTGCTGCTCATTTGGTGCCTCAGAGGACACCAGAACAACCCCAGCCACCTGGGTGACCCTCTGGGGACACTTTTCTTAAGACCAGGTCCCCTTCGTGTCAGCGGGAAATCCTTAAGACGAATGCAGCGCATCACCTTATGCCCTCTTGTTTCCAGCTCCGGTCCCGGGTCCTGCAGGACTGATAGTGGCATGAGCTCTGCCGCCTGTCCCCTGGCCCTGCCGATCAGCACCAACTTCAAGTCCAGAAGGGTTGACTGGAGCGGATGGAAGAGAGGGGGTGACACAGTGCACTCGCTGGCGAGGCTGGCCTCTCCCCGTTGGGGCAGTCTGTGCCCTCTGACTGCTTGGCTTGTGCAGCCCGTAGGACCCAGTCCAACCCCACAGGCAGGGACCAGCATCTGGGTGACTCCAGAACTCTACCCAGGGCCGCACGGATTCGCTGCCAAATGGCCCAGCTTGGCCAGCATTTGGAAAGCGAGATAAGCAGGAGTAAATGACACATGCAGTGATAACCCTCTTCAAAGGAGTTTAGCAAACACTTGCCAACAGTGTGTAGAAGGAGTAGAAGGACCGGCTTTGCTAAGGCGGGAGAAAGACTTCTCAGGCAGCAGGCAGGGCCTCAGGCAGGGAGGGGAGGGGGCTGTCCCTCTCACAGTTTGCGCTCCATGTTGAGCTGTTTGGCCTGTAAGGTGCTCAGTCACGGCTGGCACAGCCTTTTCCTTGGGGACTGGTGACCGGTTTGCTGCTGCTGAAGGTGGTGGTGTCCTGTGTGGGCGTGGAGGCTGGCCCCTCTGCAGTGAGGACTGGGCCCTAGAGAGAGTGATTTCCCCCAGCAACCCGCAGACACCTCTCTGGCCACCAGGGAACTTGGCCGGGCACTGCATGGCTTCTTTCTTTCTTTAATTTTGAGACAAGGTCTCACTAAGTGGCCTTGTCACCCAGGCTGAGCACCAGCTCACATACCTCCTGCTTCAGGCTCCGAGTGCGGGATACAGCGGCGCCACCGTGCTCAGCCGAGTGGCTGCTTTCTGCAAGTCGGCTTCTGTTCGTGTGCAAACCTCGGGGGGGGGGGCAGGCTGGGGGGGGGCGTTACACATCTCTGTAGGGGGCTGCGGGAAACTCACAGGAACCACGATGAGGGGGAGTCTGAGAGACCCAGGCTGGCACTTCTGTTCCAGCACTGCTGGAGGGAGGCTGTAAAACGGTATCTCTGAAGCTCAGTTTCCTTATCTGTCAGGTAGGGATAATAAGAGTTATGATTTTCATCACTTTTCCGGCAACAGTGGCTCTGGACCTAGGCCAAGTGGACAGAGCCCCAGAGCTTGGAGGCTGGACAGGATGAGAGAGGCTGGGAGGACGCTGCCGTCAAGGTTAAATATCGCAGGAGGTGGCGCTTTAATGTGAGAAGTAGAAAACAAGTTGTCTCTCCATTCTAGGTAGCAGTGAGTGCAGAGGGAGCTTTTCGGATAAGTATATAACTAGATCCGCATATGTATTCATACTTGTGGCTTTTTAATTTATGAATTTCAATTTTGAACATAATTTTCTGTTTTAACAAATCAAGATTCCTCTTTTGGGTGTGAGCTTTCCTCTTTACAGGGTATTAGTTTGACAGGGTTTATTTTTCTTTTCCTCCTTTCTTTCTCCTTCGCCTTTCACTCCTCCCTTCACCTTGAACTTGAACTGTATCTCCTAGGTAGGATTCTCATGAGCAGTTTGCTTTTCCCGCCTGGGAGTTTATTTTATGGCTGGCAGGTGATGGTGTTAACATGAAATAAACCCCTCAGTTAGTAAATGATGTGATTGTTTAAGATTAGTCTTCAAAAGAAGGCAACCATACTGTTGTAAAAATGTAACCGTATGACCAGGAAATGACATTAACGTTGGTTACAGTCTTGCTGCTTATAAATTTAGAACCAAACCAAGAGATCAGGAATTCAGTCTGAAACCTGATTCCCTTTTGTTCACAATGAATCACGTACATTTGGAAAGGAAGAGCATTATAACAACACTCCTATTTTAGCGAGTCTGCCTTTACCAAAAAACAAATGGAAAAAATCGCAGTACTTTTAGGTCATCGTCCCTCCATGCATCCTGGATATTTGCTTCCAGAGACAGAAATGGCTTCTGTATATAACAAACCAAAAGATTCCAATTTCTAGTCTGATAAAATCCTCCCAAGTATTACTTTTGAACAGTCAACACCTATGGCAGCCCAAATCTAGGTTTTAACGATAATTAGAACAGATGTACCATATTTCATTAAGTCAAAAGATGCCATCTATTGTAAATACATCCTATTTCAGAGATGTTTAGTCATGAAAAGAAATCATGTGTCTTAGACTTGGTGAAATACGTACAGCACAGGAATTTTCTGTTTACATCCCGAGTAGAAGGACAAGGAATGTAGCTCAGGGAGAGAATGCTTGTCTGTCAGGCACAAGGCCCTGCGTTCCATCCCAGCTCACAAAATGTGGGATACTTCTTACTTCCTCCTAAGGGGCTGTTGGGCATATGATAATCTTTATCAATAAAAAAAATTTTTTCTTTAGAAAAAAAATGAGAATTGTGTGATATTTCTGAAAATAATAGTATTGGTCCCTTTTCATCTGTAAATCGGGGTTGGGACCCAATTTTCAGTATACTCAGGCTTATTTTTTACATTCTCAGTTCAAATCTCATAGGATTCTTGCTATCCTAATATATCTGTTTCCAAATTGAAACTTTTAAGTATGGGTGATATTATACCAAAAAGAAAATTTTAAATTAAAAAGATATATATTTTTTAAAGTATACATTAAAAGAGACATGTATAATTTTAAATATTTGTATTTTTAATTTTTAATTTAATTTTTAAATTTAATTAGTTATTGTAGTTAAGGAAATACATGACAGAAAGTTTAGGGAGATGATAATTTAATATTCATAAAACTATATAGGCTACATCTACTGATCAAAAGATTTACATATTAATTATTTCTCTTACAAATCACTATTGTACTTTGACAGACTTCCATTCTCATCTTCCCTCCAATTCGTTTTATTTGTACTTTAATAATCTATGTGTCTCTATTTCTTTCCAGATTACCATCCTGGATGCAAAACGGAATATGAACATTGGGATATTTCTTAAACAATTTAAAAAGTAAGGTTTTTTGCACACACTTAAAACTTCAGTCATATCCAGGGTGTCAATATCGAAATCTATGGGTGTGACCCAGGTGAAGTTGAGGTTCCATACGAGTGAAAGGCCTTCCTCCTGCCTCTAGTCCTCCTTAGACACCTGGCTTCATGAGCCCACAAGTCTGTCAGTGCTGCTGTGAAGGGGTACCTAGCGGCTTGATGTGAGAGAGAATTGCCAAGGCGTCCGTTCAAGCCATCATCTCAGGGAAATTCTAGATTCTTCTTTAATGTCACCCCTTCTGTGAGCTCAGACCCAGGAAGGGAATAGCTGTTAGACTCTCAAGGAGAGGGCTGACAGGAATCCGTGAGAGCAAAGGGGATTGTTTTTCTTCCCCCCAAAAGACTCTCAGTGGTTGTTGCTTTTACCCAAAGGATGGTTTTCTGGTTTTCTGGGTGAAGGGGACCCAGTGCTTTTCCTGCAGTGGGGCTGCAGTGAGCCCTCCACACTGGGAAGAAGGTGGGGTGGAAGGAAGGGTGGAGGTTTGTTTAAATTTCCACTGTCTTGTGTCCCTCCTGGCACTCCACAGACTGACAGGGAATCTGATTCATTATCTCTTCAAGGTCTCCTCGGTCCATCGTAGAAGATATTCATCAAGGAAAGAGTGAGAATTATGGGTTGGAGACATTGGGCGAATTTCTGAAGATTTTGCCTGAGTCAGAAGAGGTAAGGAGTGTGTGAGCCTTGGGTGTCAGGGATGATGGTAAAAGCTTTAGGGTTTTGGTGTGTCAGAACTCACACGGGAAAGGCACGTGCACGTCCGACCCAGAGATAAGAGTTTTGTCACAGAAAGCAGACTGTAAGCAGGCAGAGGGCCAGGCTGAGGGAGTCAGAGTCTTGGTTCAAATTGAGCTGAGCCTTGATTGAGAAACTTGGGCAAGGTTCTTAGCTCCTATGAACTTGAATTTCCTCACCTGTAAAAGGAAAATAATGACCCTAACCTCATCAGGTTGTCAAGGTGAGTAAACCTTGGTGCTGCTGCCTCCATGGCTCTTGGCACATGACAGCTCAATAAATTTGAGTTTTCTTTTCCATCATCTAGATATGACCTTTGCCTAGGGTGAACCCAGGTTATTGTGTACTACTCTATTACATGTACTTTAAGGAAAGAGAACCATTTTTGGATAAAGATGCTGTATAAATCAGGAGAGGTAGGTAAACTGTTAATACACAGTAGGTACATAATTGACTGAAAGACAGAAATTGCTGTGGGAGATAAAAAGGACCACAACATAAAGATACTTATTTTGTTTGGACTGAACTGAAAGTATTGAATGGTTAGGAGCTGTGTAAGGAAAAACAGAATAATGATTTTATAAATATTTTTGAAGAAAAATTCAATGAGAAATTACTGAAATATGTGTAGTTATAAATACTTAAATAGGGCCAGGGATTTAGCTCAATGGTTTCACTCCCTGCTGTGCAAGCGCAAGGACCTGAGTTCGATCCCCGGTACTAAAAACAAAAACAAAAACAAAACAAAACAAAATATTTAAATAAAACAATGCAGAGAGCCGGGGATTTAGCTAGGTGGTTCTGCCGCCTGCCTCAAAAACGCAAGGTCCCAAGTTCAATCCCCGATACAAAAACAAAAAAACCAAACCAATACGGTCTTACTAAGTTTTTAAACACTTTCTAAATAAAAATGAAGATTTTTATGAGTAAAAGGCCAGGATGGCTTTTTGTTAAATGGTCCTCCTCACACATACTGCCACCCTCTGCCACCCCACTCTTTCTCCTAAACATAATTTATGGAACTTAAGTGCCATTAATAACAAGAGAGATTTGTGCTTTTGCTTTGACGTTGATCTGTGTTAAATTCACAATGCCAAGTGCAGGAAGTTAGTGAGTAGCTGGAGATTCTAGTTATATCTAGGTGTATCTAATGACCTCAGGTTTTCTGTTTGCACATTAAGTGTAATTTACTTAAGCCCAGGTTAATGAATGGCGTTTATTAATGTTAGCGAAAGGACTTAAGGTCTTAAAGAAAAGCTATGTTTGATCATAATTTACCTTTATATACTGATATACACTGAACAGTCTTTAATCTTGCTTTTTTTGTAAAGAATAGGAGTTTCATAATCTTCATTAGAATGGGTAAGGTTTAATTAATTTGAGTTATAAAAAGATTTATTTGCTTGTGGGTTAAGGATGAAGCTCAGTGGTTCCATCTCCAGCACTACAAAAATAAAAATAAAAAATAGAAAAGATTTCTTTGCTTTCAAAATCTCATTCCTGCCTGGGCTTTTCCCCTGACGAGGTCTACTCTTCATGCCCACTCCTAACTGACCTCATCATTTTGTTAAGTGAGGATCAGATTCGATAGTACATGTGAAAGTGTTCTGCAAAGCTCTGAATGTCTGACTAAATGCAATTTAAGCCTGAAGGAGGCTGTAGCTTCTTGCTATGAAGAGACAGGAGGGTAAATACGATTTTCTTAATACCTTCATTTCACATTTAAAATTCAGAGGCGATTAGAAAATGCAAAGAGGTTCTCAGAGAAGCAGATGAGCTGTCAGACCCTCACATCTTATAGCACTCTCTCTCTCTCTCTCTGTCGTTTTTCTTTCTTTGAGTTGTGTGGGGGATGTAATTGGAAAGGAAGCATGCTGAGAGCTAGATGAGGAAACCCACCGCAGCAGCGCTGCCAGCCCGTGTCCACAGGGCCCGTCCTGCTGTCACTAACCTGGGCCCCCCTCCCGCACAGCACAGCGCCCGCAGCCCTCAGTCTGAATACCTGACAGCAGGTCACACTGTTCGTGTTTACAGTGTTTACATTTCTGCCTCCTGCCTTGGGCTTCGGCCTACCACGCCCTCCACGCCCCTGGAGCTTCCCGCTCAGAAACCCCGTCCCTGTCCCGGGAAGGACACCCCTCCCCGAGCCAGCTGGGCATCCAAGTGGAGAGCAGCAGTCGCAGAGACAGTTGACGCTGCCTGTGGCTCGGCGGCTCGGAGCCCGGAGCCTTGCGGCTCTGCCTAGACTCAGGGCTGCCTGGAGTCTTGGGCCTCCAGAGGAGGCCGGGGGAGGAAGCGGGGCCTAGGAAGAGAGGTTTAGGAATGTGGCAGAAATGTGCTACTGAATGCGTGAGTGAGCACTTAACCAGGGTCTCCAGGCCTGTCCTCCCGGGTAGCACAAGCAAGGACGGGACATTTATTGAATCCCCTCCTGTGCCAGGCACCGGGCAGGGCAAAACAGATGAAGCGATAATGTATTTAAAGTCCTTAACCCAGGGCTGGCACACAGAAAGCCAGCCTGCCACGGCTGTGATTATTCTGTGTATTTTTCTGTCTCGAGCCTTACTCCGGAATTGTCAGATGCTCCTCATTTTACGGGTGAGAACTTCAGCTCTCACAGGTTAGAGCGGGTCCTGGCAGGCGGGGTGGGCTTCAACCCCATCCGCTGACCCTGAAGCAGTTCTTTCTGCTGTGCTCCTGCCTCCCGGGGAGGACGGGAGGGCAAAGGTGCCCAGACTGCAGCCTTCTCGTCACCTCTGCTGTCACCCAGCACCGTGTGAGTGGGTGTCACCCGGAGAATGCTGTAATCTTATCAGCACGCTGAAACTACGAGAGCCAGGAAGCTGGCGGGCGGAAACAGCCCTTTTCTCTGCTGCCTGCTCCTCTAACAAAGTCCACTGAAGCCAAGGTTAATTCGTTGTCAGGGATTACTCCGCCCTTCAGCACAGATGTTGGCGCATCCTTGCTCCGATGTGCGGTTAACCCTTGCCGAAGAATAAGGTGACCGCGAGCTTGAGTCCTGAGTGTGCTCTCGCCCACCCGCCAAGTGGGCCTGTGCGGGGGGGGGGGGGGGGGGGCGTGGTGGTGAAGAGGAGCCACCCCACCCCCAGGCCTCACGGCCTCGGCTGCTGCCTCCTGGCTACCTCGTGTCCCGAAGGTGCTCTCCGGAAGCAGGCTGAGTTGCCTCCTCCAGACTGTGTGTGTGTGTGTGTGTGTGTGTGTGTGTGTGTACACGCAGTGCAGGGGATGAGCCCAGGGCCTCACACATCCTAAGCACATGCTCTACCACTGAGCATTTTCTCGCCTCTTCCCTAACTTCTTCCTTCCTCTGCCACTGCTGGGGGGGAAGTGAGGCGCCGGGCTTCCGCTCGGTGGTGTGTTTGTGGCAGTCCTGCTGTTCCAAGCCAGCGGGCATCCATGGCTGCAGGAGGCCTGCCTGTGGGATATGGGGGTCCTAAGGAGCAGCTCTGTTCCCAGGACAGAAACTGGATACAGCGGGGGTCGCATTGGGCGTCTCTCAGCTCAGCCAGCAAAACTGTGGTGAACAAAGTTTATTAAAGGCTTTTTGATAATGGTGAAGTACATACTAATTATAGGGTTAGTTCACCTCTCTTTGACTTGCCTACCATTGGAAAGGTACAATAATCCCTCTTAATGAACATAAATCGCATTTTGAAATAGAACGAACTGTACTCATGGTGTTTGAATGAAATATTGTCTTTCCATCACCATTCTCCTGAGATCTATAAACATCTTTAGCCTTTCCCATAAGTGAAAAAGATTAATCGTTGCTCCCTTACATTTTAGCCCATGTTTAACAGAAATATTTACCAAGATTACTTAGCGCGACCTGTTCTTACACTTTGAGCTGAAGTCAGTGCTGTTAGTTTCAGAAGCTCTGCACTCGCCTCGTAGAGGGTCTGTCAGTGCACACAACCTCATTCTGCCCCTGCCCATATATAGCAAATGGTTCAGCTCTGCTCAGAAGGGATCAGAATTCATTCCAGGGATTCTCAGCTCAGAAAGAAGGCACTGATTTGGGTTTAGCTAAACCAGAGATGCCAGGTACCTTTACATTTAGGAAAACCAAACATTGTAAATTCACTTTGGGGCTTTTAGCGTAGGGCAAATGCAATTTTTTTAATCTCTGGTTTTTTACCCTTATTTAAAAAATGAAAGATTGGGGATGTGGCGTGATGGAAGAGCACTGGCTTCCCATGGGCAAGGCCTTGTGACAGTGCTGGAAAAAAAGCCTTAAGCACCAGACTTAATACCAGGATGTGAATTTGCACTCTTTTTTCATATTTTCAAATAATGGAAATAGATATTTCAGTGTATAGATCTTTGAAAATAAAGTTCTTGGGTTCACTCCCCAGTATCAAAAAGAGAATAATTAAAAAGTGGTGGCCTGTTTACAAGGTCGATCTGGTAGATCCCAGTAAAAGTCTAGAACACTTGTCATTGGTTCCATTTGTATGACTGCTTGGCGTTTGGCAGCCTCTAGGCAAGAATAAACCAAACTTTTAAGAAATTAGAGCATGAAAAATCTAAGCATCAGCACACTAGAATGGAAGGGCAGGTTGGGGATGAAGTCACAGTTAAATACTGGAATAGTGAGTGATTGTAGCCTGTTACCTCTTATCTCTTTTCCCATTGGATCCCCATTTAATCAATATGACCTGGGTGACTGTACTTGTAATCTTATTGGTCGGTCATGGTCTTGTCCCACCTCATGCCCACCTTGTAAATTTCCATTGGGTCTTACGGTTTTGTCCCACTTTGTACCCGCCTCACCACGTGGCTTTGCTGTACAAAACATCTTTGAAAAGTGGGGTGAGCGGGCAACCCACTTTCAGGTCCCCTGCTATCTCTCTTAGGCAGAAGCTGTCTTTCTCTCAATAAATTTTTCCTACTCTTAAAAAAAAAACATGCCGGGCACTTCGCTGGGGCTGAAGCTTGGTGCTGGGGCACTTACCCGACCCTGGGGAGGCCCAGCTTCCATCCCCAGCGCGGCAGAACACGAAGCTGGGAGGGGGAGTCCACGCTGAGCACAGTCACGAAGATAGGTGTGTGTGTGGGTGGGGGCCGCTGTACGCACCTTTGGGGAGTTGTACACACCTTTTATTTTATACATTTACAGAAATGGGATGCTGCTGTGCTTGCTATTTTTTACCTCTTTTGGGGGGTAGGAAATCTTTTTTTTTTGCTATTTTATTTTTAACATTTACACATTGTACGTATTAGTGGGATTGAGTGTGGTATTTCAACACATGCACATGGCACACAAACATCAAACCCAAGCTCCCTTCACCCACCCTCCTGCCCCGTTGGCAGCCTGTCGTAACCACTATTTTACATTCAAGTCCATTTTTTTTAGCTTCCACATATGAGAGAGAGCATGGGGTTCTTGTCTCTCGGTCGGGGTTATTTTACTTAGCATAATATCCTCCAGTTCCCTGCATGTTTCTGCAGCTGACAGGATTTCGGCCTTCTTTACAGCTGAATAACTTTCCACTGTAATATCCACCACATTTTCTTTATCTGTTTTTTCATTCACAGATGCTTAGCCTGATTCTGTACCTTGACTGTTGTGAACAGTGCTACATCATAGGGAGAAATCTTACCATTGATCTTTCAGTTGTTTAGACATCTTTCCTTTTTACCTTCCTCTTGGAAAGCCAGCACATTCTTACCTCCAGATACAGCAGTCCAGGCTGGAGATGTGGCTTGGGGCTAGAGCATGTGCTTTGCATGCACAAGGCCCTGAGTTCAATCCCCAGCACCGCAAAAAAAGGAAGAAGAAGAACAAGAAAGACAGAACAGGGCCCCATCCTGTAAACTATTATCTGTGAAGTGGAATTGGACTGCAAAAAGCTCTGTGTTAGACCTTATTCAGCCCAAGTACTTTGTATCAGAATACTTAATAAGAGTTTTTTCACTCATGACTTAGAGGACCGTGTTATAATGACTATCCGGTCTCTTATTTCTTCTCCCAAACAATGACCGCACGTCTGAATTAGGATGTGGGAGATACTGCATCCTGGGAGCTGATCCTTTCTCAGTGCCTCCCTTTAGTAACCCTGAGAGTCCAGCGGATCCCACTCCCTGCTGTGCTTGGGCCTGTGTGTCCACTACCTACATAAGTGGCACCAGCTCTCCTCTCCTTCAAATCGGTTTCTTTCTTTCTTTCTTTCTTTCTTTCTTTCTTCCTTCCTTCCTTCCTTCCTTCCTTTCTTTCTTTTCTTTCTTTCTTTCTTTCAAAAAACCAAGCAGTAGAGCTGAGGCATAGCTCAGTGGAGGAGGGCTTGCCTGGGTTCCATCCCCTGGTCCCAATCCTGCACTACAAAACAATTAAAAAGTGGTAGATGGGCCAGGAACTTAGCTCAGTGGTGCTGTTACCTGCCTTGCAAGCGCAAGGTCCTGAGTTCGATCCCTGGTATGGCAAATAAATAAATAAATAAAGTGGTAGATGTGGAGATGACCTTTTTGGTCTTTTTTAAATGTCTGCATTTTTATTAACTTGAATTTAGCACTGAGCGCCTATTTTCTTTGAAGGATTCTAAAAGGACATTTAAGACAAACTAATCATGAGCAATTTTTTCTCTACCCCCTTCCCATTTGCCTTTTAGGTAAAGAAGTTAAAAACCTTCAGCGGTGATGTGTCCAAGCTCTCCCTGGCAGATTCCTTTCTGCACTGCTTAATTCAGGTGCCAAAGTAAGGACGGCTCACTACTGCTTCATCTTTACGGAGTCAGAGTTTGAAACAGACATTGAATTTTACAGTTTTCCGTTTTCTTTTTCAGCTATTCACTTCGGATTGAAGCCATGGTGCTAAAGAAGGAATTTTTACCTTCTTGTTCTTCTCTGTACACGGATATAACAAGTTTAAGAAGTGCTATCAAAGGTAAGTAAATACATGATCCTCCCTGTAATTCGTTTTTATTCAGTTTTGTAGGAGGCTTTTTAAAATTCAGTTGAAATTAGAAATGGAAAGTCCCATTTATGATACAACTAAAAAGAAAAATGAGCTTTTACTGGGGTTGCATTTAAAGTTTATCTCCATTTTTTTCTCCTTTTGAATGTTAATTTGCATGTTATCTTCCCACAAAGAAAGTTTCTTTCATCTCAGGCATCGCTTGTCACAGCTTGCCCGTGCTCCTCTGCTCTGTTAGCTTTCTGTGTGTGGCACACATGTGAGGTGTGGTCTGTGTGGTGTGCAGTGTGTGGGGCACTGGAGGTGCACAAACCCTGGCCCAGCTGCTGCGGGCCCTGGACTCCGTGGGTGGCCATCCCAGCTCCTCCGGAAGCGGAAGCAGCCTTCCTCCCTGCCTCAGCAGTGACTCCCCTGAGGGTCCTGAGGCTTCTGTCCCATGGTGCCCTCTCCACTCTCCTGTCCTCCGGAGTCCACCATCAGTGGGCCATTTCCATTGGAGAGGACACGTTTTCGCCTCTTTGAGCAGCTCTGAGTTCCTGGCCAGCCCAGTGCTCTGGGAGCTGCTCTTGCATCTCGCTGGGCAGGGAGGTCTCTGTTTCCGGCGTGCGTGGCCAGGCTGAGGCCCTCAGCGCCCACAGCGGCTCCTCAGGGCTCACCTGCGGGCTCCTTCTCCGCCCCACTCCTCCGCGCCTGCTGGATTCCTCCCGGTTGTTGGCTGGATTTCTAGCAAGTGTTTATATTTCAATTTGCTTTTCCTATTTGGTGGCTCTGGCCAGTGCTGAAAGAAAAGTTTTCTCTTTGATCCACTGCTTTCTTCATGTTAGAGAGGACACTAAGAATGAAGAGAAATTTTTCTCCTTCCAGGATGGAGGCCATTTCAGAATTTCGTCCCATACCAAGGCTATTGCAGCAGCTTTGGAAGGATTGCTCTTCCTGTTCCAATAGCAGGGGAAGAAGTATGTGTTTGTGTTGAGCAACGCAAATCGTGGCCGTGCAGGAAACTGCACTTATCTGGGTAACCTTCCCAAGCTGGCCTTCTCAGATAACAAAATGTAGGCAGTGATCCAAGTGCAGTTTCCCCCGTACCGGGCATTGAACCCAGGGGTGCTCAACCACTGAGCTATATCCCCAGCCCGTTTCTCTATTTTGTGAACTTTGAGACAATAGGGTCTTGCCAAGTTCCCTAAATTCCCTTGACGTTCTTCTGATGCTCCTGCCTCAGCCTCCCAAGTAGCCTGGCTCAAATGTTTTCTGAAAGTAATGACAGGCTTAATGGAGAAGAGTAACTTGAAAATATCATTGCTCCTACTTTGTTATTTATATGTGGCATGATTTTGACAACCAGACTTTAGTTTGTCAAATAAATTTTAAAATTTGAACTGTTTTTCTTTACGTAAATGTACGCTAACTAGGTGTTAATAAAGAAGTACTCAACAATCTATTGCAGTGCTAAGTTCCTTTCGCAAGGTTTTAGACAATCCTGATGAAATGTGTGGCTCTGAATAAAATGCAAAGAGGGTCTGGGTGGCAGGCCCCACAGCCTGTGCTTTACAAGTTATTTCCATGTCATTCCAGGCTGTTTATTTTTTATCTCTTCATAACTCATTGGCTAAGCAAAATGTTGCTTGCTGTTAGCTTTCATATTGCATAAATCCAGTCTCAAAAGGGAGTAGACACATGGAAAGCGAGAGAGAGAGAGAGAGAGAGAGAGAGAGAGAGAGAAGGAATTACGCAGAGTAACACAGCATACAGCCTTTCGCCAGGCCTTTGTCTTCGCCACCACTGAGCATCTTCATTATTGAACCAGCTTACGATGTTCCCCTGCCCGGCATGTTTGAGCCCCAGTTAAACACCAGGACAGGATTGCCAGTAGCAAACAATTCACGTCCTACCCTGTGGAAGGCGCCGCTTGGTTTGGTTTTCAGTCTTTGTGTACAGCCGAGGGCCAGAGCTTGTCGGAGCCGGATGTGCCCTGTCTGTGTGTGCTGGGCTTCTCTAAGCGCTGTGCTCTTCTTCACAGAGCTGATATCGTGTGAGGAGCTACATGCCATATTGCACTTGGTGCTCCAGGCCGGGAATATCATGAATGCAGTAAGTAAAAGCCAAAATCCTTTAAAAGCTAGTGTTTTCCACTTTACTGTCATCTGAAGGCATAGTGTATTTCTTTCTTTTGCTTTTGTCTTCTTTAGGGAGGATATGCTGGCAACGCAGTAGGATTTAAACTGTCTTCTTTGCTGAAATTGGCGGACACAAAAGCAAACAAACCTGGGATGAACCTTCTGCATTTTGTCGCACAGGTAGGCGGACCCAGTTAATACCGAGAGGGAGTGGTCATGAAGCCCCCCATTGGAGGTGGTGACATTTCTCCCAGGCTTGAGGTGGCAGCCACGTTAGGAGAGGGCCTGCTGAGTTCCAGGAAGGTTCTCTTTGCAGAAGGCTTCCTCACAGGTTACACAGTTGTACCGCACCTAGGTCTAGGGCTGGGGCGGGCTAGGGCGGGCTGGGGCGAGGGGCCGGGGAGCCAGAGAGGCTGGGGGAGCCTATTTTGAAAGGGCTTTTTTTTCTTTTTTAACACCAGTAACTAGATGCACAGTGAAAGATTGATCTGGGACAGCTACCGTTTAATCACTGTTGCCATTAAACCTTCTTAACGGTTGTAATGACTTGCATCTCTTTCTTGAATCCCCTCGTTTGGACACAGTGACAGACACAGCCTTAGGGTGAGGAGGAAGCCACTGCATGCTTGTGTTGAGTGTGACCTTCTGCCTGGGGCAGAATAGGGGGTTTGACTGTCTGTTATTAGCTCTGCTTCCTCAGACAAGTTACATAAGCCTGAGACCCTCAGTCTCTTCATGTAATGATGAGGGTAGTGGTGACTTACCTCAGAATCAGGTAGTTGAGAGGACTGGAGGAGATAAACCCCTACCTGCTTAGTGGAATGTCTGGCATAAGGTAAGCACGCCGCAAGCAAATAGTGTGCGCTGCTGATATTCCTCAGAAGGCAGGCCGTCTTGAACTCAGTACTTCACTGGTTCCTTGGTTTTGGCCTCCCGCATCCTGGGCAGTGCTGCACTCCTGGTCCTCAGTGCTTGATTGAAAATTTAATGTTCCAAGCATTACGAGAAAGAACAGAGTCGCTTATCCAGCATGGATTGCAGATCATGTTCTGGCCAAGCTCCTTCAGTCAGTGTGTCCAGTTGCTCTGTGTACTTGGTCCCTGCCCCTCTGGGGACATCTGAGTCTCAGTGCCTCCTGCTCAGCCTCCCCAGAGATGAAGAATGCAGACCCCGCCATGACTTGGCCATGACTTGCGTTCCTCCTGAGTGATCTTAGTTAGCAAACTGGCCTGACCAGAGCTGATGGTATGTCAGTCATGTCAAGGGTATGGGTGGTATTTAGGCAGAATGTATTGGATTCTCTCAGAGACAGTGGGCCTGGCTAAGCAGCCACCTCTTTCCTCTGAGTTTCGGCACACATGAATTGTATTTCATGTCACGATCATTCCCTGGGAAGTGAACTGTGTTTGAGTCAGGGTATTCTGATTAACCTTACTGAGAACATCAGAGTTCATGTCTCAGTGAATCGCTGTGAATGTAGCCAGCTGAAAAATAAGTAACCATTCTAAGGTTCCTTTAAGCCCTAAGAAAATTATTTCCTTTCGGTTTTATCTATCCAGTGAGAGAAAATTCTTTTTTTCTTCCAGGAAGCCCAAAAGAAAGATGCCATCCTCCTAAACTTTTCTGAAAAGTTGAGTCATGTTCAAGAGGCTGCTAGGTAAGCAAGGAAAACAGAAAGCGCATTGTGAGAATTCAGTGGTTAACTGCCTTCTTATGAAAACTGCTAAGTAGTAACAACTTTTGGATTCAGGTTTGAAATTTGAAAAGTATTGTCTTGTTGGACTTCAAGGCTTTCTTTTCACTTGCTTGAAAGAAGTGTGTGTGCGCCTCTGGAATATGGGGATTTTGAAAAGCTTTTTTTTTGGTACCAGGGATCCAACTCCAGTCCTTGCACTTGCGCAGCAGGCAGCGAAACCACTAAGCTAAATCCCCGGCTGAAAAGCTTATTTTTAAAAATAGTACTAAATACCTAAAATGTACCAATAAAAGAATTAAAAAATAAATAAATAAAAATAAAAACAGTACTAAAAAAGCTATTTTAGTCCATCTTAATGAATATCATCAGTATACAAAAAAATGCAGACTAAGAACTTCAAATCCCTCCACACCCACAAGGTAGAGTTCAAACAACACAGCTTATTAGCTCGGGAGTTGGTCTAGCTCAGTCAAGCCTCCAGGGCCATCCATCACGGTTTCCTTGTAGAATCTAACATGGTACATTTGTTTTTTTATTGCATTAAAAGGGGTTGGAACCCTACCAAGAGCTGTGAAAGGATTTGATTTTAAATTAGTCACTCCACTTTACAGAGAAAGTGTCTACCAAACATAACGCTCTAATTACATCATCCTAATTCACTTCTAATCCCCACATAGATGCGTACTTTAATATAGTTAAACCTGTGCATATGTACTATTTTGAGTTCTGTGTTTTTCAACTTCTAACACATGCCCACACATCCCAAGGTGAATGTTTCCAAGAACCAGTTCTTCGAGAAAAAAAAAAAGTAGCATTTGCTGATTTTCATACCATAAATACAGTTGCCCTGGCTGAGTTCAGGCTGCTGACATGGAGCTACTGAAGGCAGAGCTGGAAAGCAGTACCTACAGCCTGCCTCTCGGTGTGGCTCCTCTTTCTGCTGCATTCTGAACCCAGCTCGTGTCATGTACTTCTTTTTTGAGACACGGTCATGCTCTGTTCCCCAGGCTGGTTGCAAACTCCTGGGTTCAGTTCATCTTCCTCCCCCACCTCCCAAGTGGCCAGGACCTCAGCAGGCAGCATGATGGCCAGCTATGTGATGTGCTTATTATGTGAGCGACTACAGCAGCAGCAGCTGTGAGCCCTGTGCACATGAACCAGAGCTTGTGGCCCTGTCACTGGCCAGTCTGTCACTGTTACTGACTCCGTGGACATCTAGCCACAGATCATATGTCTTTCCCAAAGTGGGATCATTAGTGCAAAGGTAGGAACAGGTCCTAATTCATGTTCACAGAGCAGTGCATTATTCTCCAAAAAGGATGGAACTTATATGACACAAACTTTTGTTTTTGAACTACTAAGAGAAACTTGTGCGGGAATAATTTTACTCTGATGGAATATAAATACATCTAAGAGGTCTCTAAGGAGAAACTACTCTAACACACATCCCACACACACAGTGGCACCGACAGTGGAAGCAGGAACTCGTCCTGCTTTAGGAATTTCACCTGGATTGTGGGTGTCACCTGCTCACCTGGCCATCACTCACACTCTGCTTAATAATCTTGACAGGATGCATGAAAGCAAAATATTGTGAGAGCACAGCCATTTACCTCAGAGTTGGTGACTGTGTTTTAGTTCTGTAAGATGCAGAGAGCTGTGCCGCCTGGCGGAGGCGAACAACACGAAACCCACCCAGTCTGTCTGGGCGACCCTGAGTACGAGGGCCTGCAGCCCCATCTCCTCGCCGCTTGCGAGTTAGGGCTCTTAACCCCAGAGACACCTGTCTCGGAGTCCTGCCGGCTTTTCATCTCCAATGCTTATTGCGTAAAGGTGATCAGCCTTAGTTTATGAAAAGCTTCCCGAGTCCAGTGGTTTTGGTTCTCTCATCTGCAAAAGCAGAGACAGCATGCACTCTTTGTACCAGCCTGTGTTTTTCGGAAGCAGTCGCCTCTAAAAAAACACATGGAAACTCACAATCCAAACACAGGGGAAGGCAGAGGTAACTGCAGTGGCTCCCCTTTCTGTTTCCAGGGGTGGCCAGAGAGGTCTTGTTTGATGTCCCTGCAGGAAACCTGGCTTCCTTGTGCCAACTGCCCACTCTCTTCTTTCTTCTTTTAGATTATCTCTGGACAACACAGAGGCAGAACTGAAGTCACTGGTTGTCAGGACGAGATCGCTGAAGGAAAACATCAAGCCGGACGTGGAACTTTGTCAGCAAATGGAAGATTTCCTTCAGGTGCGTAAGTGATTCAAGTTGGTCCTTCTTGTCTCATCTGCAGCAGCCCCAGCGAGGCCGCTCACTTTTGTGCGGGCAGCATTCACATTTTTCCCCAGGACAGTACAGAACCCTTCACACAGCACCGAGAAGCCCCTTCGTTGCTCGGAACATTGCTCACGAGTTAGACCTCAGGCCTCTGGTCACGGGTGGAGCTCCTGCTTGTCCGGTGCAGTTTTGTGCTTGCACTGGGACTATCCCTAAGTTTTGCTTTTAAGCCACAGCAGAACACGGCTTGCAGAAAATCATCCCCTTAGAACCCAGGCTGTTCTTCCTGCCCGTGTTTATATGAAGAGACCAGCTGTGTTTGGCTCGTTCTCTAATGGGAGCAGATCCCACACATGATCAGCACCCGAATACATCAGCCCCAAGGGTGTGTCGGGAACCTCTGCAAATCGCATCCATAGAAAGGAGCAGAGTGATGGCTCATGGTGACTCACCGGTCACACAGTCTGACACACGTCCTTTATCTTGCTTATTTTGAGAAGGGAAAGTGGTGCCGTTGCCCTCTGGGAAATGGTGTCCTACCTTCCTTGTAGTCAGCCCCTGCGGGTCCCCCGGGATAGAATCCAAATGACAGACCATGTCTGGCACTAGGCAGGAACACAGTGCTCCTGAGGGTGAGCCACCAAAGCCCTTACTTATTAGTTGAGCTGCTTGCAGATATTATGAGTTCAGCCCATATCGGCAAACACTGAATTTTATTTGGCTTCACTGTGAACTTAGTTTCATTATTAAACATGTGCTCTGTATTTGCCTTCACATATAACCAAGCTGATTTTCCCATTCAGATATACACATTTTGTTTGTTGGTTTATTTGGTCAGTTGGTTGGTTGGTTGTTTTTTTGTTTTTTTGAGACAGGGTCTCTCCATGTAGTTCAGGCTGGCTTTGAACTCACTATGTAGATCAGGCTGGTCTCAAACTCACAGCGATCCTCCTGCCTCAGCCTCCTGGGTGCTGGGATTACAGGCGTGTGCCACCACACCTGGCTTTCAAGTGTACACATTTTTCTCAGTATAGTGACAAAGCAAACACCATCACCAGCACCAGCACCACAAAAACATGAAGCAGTGGTCAAGCATAATGAGATGTATAAAACAAATTCAGAAACTCATAAATAAGGACCATCAGACGTCAAGATGAAGGTTCTCCTTGTGAGGCTGATGGGGCTCGGTGGTAGGAATGTGGTTAACATGCATGAGGCCTCGGGATTGGTCACCAGCACCGCAAATTGTAAAATGAATAAAGTGGAGATTTGGGTTGCTTCATTCCCCCGAGTTCTTAAGTATTAATATCTTATATTGATTTGATTTTGCCTTGGTGGGGATCGAACCTGAGCCCTCATGCATGCTAAGCACATGCTCTACCACCAAGCCACACCCCCGGCACTGCTCTTATTTTACACTAAATCTCAATACAGAAAGGTTTAGGCTGAAGAACAGTTCTCCCTTCTCATCTCTAGGCCGCTCTTCAAAAGCAAGCTTACTTTAACTCTTTAAGTTCTTCTTTCTAGTAGTGTTCTATGTTTTTGTTTTTCATTTTCAATACTGAGGAGGGAACCCAAAGATAGCGCTAACCACTGAGCGACACCTCCCCCCCCTCCCCCCGCCCTGGTGGTCGTTTTTATCTCTATAAATAAAGTGTGCCACACAGCCCTATCTTTTTCGTTCATAAAATCAACTTCTTCTTTTCTTCTTTCCTCTCCTCTCCTTTCCCTTCCTCTCCTCTTCTCTCCTTTCATTTTTTTTTCCTTTTCCCCCGGCACTAGGGATTGAACCCAGAGCTTTTGCACTGAGCTACATTCCCAGCCCTTTTTTGAATTCTGAAACTGAGTCTCACTAAGTTGCCCAGGCTGGGCTGGATCTTGCGATCTTCCTGCCTCAGCCTCCAGAGTTCTGGGATTACAGACTTGTACTGCTGGGCCTCAAGTCAACTTCTTAAATAGATGAGATGAAAATGTCTTACGGGAGGTTAGGGTTGGGTCATGCTGGGATCCGGGACTCCTTGCCACAAGCAGTGGGGGCTTTGAAGGGTTTTGAGCAGAAAGATGGCAGGGACGAGTCTTTCCCAGACCCACCTTTGTCTGCATTTTGACCCCGTGGGGGACATTCTGAGTCCCCTGGATTGGGGCTTTGGTGCACAGCAGGCCGGGTGGCAGCGGAGAGCTCTTCCACACGCCGCTGGCCATTGTCACTCCCTGGCGCCAGCGCGCCTTGGACCTCGCTGTGCCCCGGTTCGGTCCGTCAGTCGTGTGGAACTCACAGGGTCTGAGCTGACCTTGCTTCTCTTTCAGTCCTGTTCTCACGGTGTTTCATTGTCCTGACACCGAGGGGACTCTGGGGCCAGGCTTCCCTCCTGGTGCCCCGCTGACCCCCACCAGGTCTGCAGATGACTGCAGATGAGACTCGAGGTGGGGCTCAGCTCCCCCGTGGCTCCTTGTCAGCGGCCTGTTTTCTGCAGCTGAGCTGTCCTTGGCTGGAATCCCCCTTCCCCCTGCGGAAGGATGACAGCAGAGCTTTCTCCCTGCCTGGATGCTCTTCTCTCCATACCGGAACACACAGTGCGAAGCCGCACGCTGCCTTGGGCTCCTGACTCACAGGGTTGCTCCGTTTCCGAATAGATCTGCTTTCCTGCCAGCTCTAGAATGTGCTTGGTTGGGGAGAGGGGCCCTCCGGGGGGAGAGAGGTCAGAAGGAGACTTACAGGGATTGCTCGGGGCTCTGTAGCTGGCCAAGCAGGTTCAGACAGCTGCCCCTAGGGGAACCTGCACTTTCCCACACCGAAGGCCCAACCCCTGCACTCCAGAAAGAAGCGTCTCGAGCGTAAGCCTCTTTTTAAAAACCATGGTGCTGCCGTTTGGTAAAGTAACAGATTTCCTGCATCCCTGCTTCACTGGCAGACAAGAAAGCTGTCGGTCCCACCTGTACTGGCAAAGTGTGTTTGTGAGCCTTGGGTGTGGCCAGCCCTTCCCGGGGAAAGCAGGCTTCTTTTGCCCCAACCACTTTGTAGGGGCCTCAGACTTCGGGACCGAGGAAGAATTAGGAGGAAAGAAGTAGTAAAGAGAGAATTTGTATGGGATGGTAATTTCTAAGCGTGGGACCCTTCATACTTTCCTGCAGAGTTTTAATAAAATATCGATTCAGGGTCCACCCACCTGCATGAGGGGTACAGGATGAGCTGTTGCCAACATTTCCCAGCCAACTGGGACAGCACCCCAGCTTCAGGTGCAAGGGCTTCAGTCCTGGGGGCGCCCCTGACCCCAGTGGAGCTTCTTGGAGTTAACAGGGCAGCATGGGGGGCTCATCGGTGCAAGTGAACTTCACAGACCCTAAAATAAACCTTTGGCCATGTGAGAGCTTTAAGAGAAAGAGGAACAAATGTAGAAGAAGGGCCGGGGATTTGGCTCAGTGGTTTTGCCACCTGCTGTGCAAGCACAAGGACCCAAGTTTGATCCCCGGTACAAAAAAAAAAAAAAATGCAGAAGAAATTTTTCTTAATAGAATCAGCTGATACTGGGTCACTTTTTCAGTGACACTGAAGGTGAAAATTTTCACAGTGGCACGGTGCAGGTTAAAGTTCTTAAATCCTTCATTCTTTTGAGACAGGTAGGTTCTCACCGTGTTGCCCAGGCTGGTTTCATTCTCCCGGACTCAGACAGTCCTCCTGCCTCAGCCTCCCGAGTAGCTGCAACCACAGGTGCACACCACAGCGCCCAGCCTCTCCCACCTACCCCACTACTTGGTGGCTCCCAGCGCTCAGTTTTGTTTGGCTTGGCTTTCTTCTTGGCTCTGTGTGCGTGATGTTGCCTCGAGCCTGGCCCTTTCTGAGGCCAGGAACCAAACCCAGTTGTGCGTCTTCCCCAGGCACGGGCCGGGGTGCTCCGGCTCCTCCTCGGCCGGCCTGCTCACTTCACAGGACCTCTGGTTTTTCCACAGTTTGCCACGGAAAAGCTGGCAGACCTGGAGCAGTGGAAGCAGAAGCTGCAGCGTGAGGCGCACACCCTTATCGATTTCTTCTGTGAAGACAAAGGAACCATGAAACTGGACGAATGCCTCCAGATATTTAGGGACTTCTGCACCAAATTCAACAAAGCAGTGAAGGTAAGGCTGGCAGCCTCTCCGTGTCTTCAGAGGCCTTGAGAGTCTTCTCCTTGCTGACCGAGTGCCCTGCCTGTGGCTGCCTTAGGGCTTGGATAATAAGAATCATGTCTGCTGTCCCTGTGACGCCTTCCCATCCTAAGTCTGGCATGGGCTGCTTCTCCGATGCTCATAAGGACAGGCACAGCGATGGTCTGGAGGCAGTTGGATGGTGCACTCCCATCATGAAGAGAGTCACAGTATTTAAAAGTCTTCTCCGGGTCCTGACCATAGATCCCCCCTCTAAAAGGGGATTTCCACCTTTGGGGAGACCTTTGTTGCAGTGAGGTGACTGGAAAGGCCTTCCTTCCCTGTCACCTGTTTCCCACACCAGGCCACTGTGGCAGTCAGCCGTGTGGGAACCCTGTGGGCCCCAGCCAGTGGCAGCTGCACTTCCGGGCCCTCAGCTGCTATGTCCAGGGATCTGAGTTGAAATTGGGGTTGCCTGGTTTAGCGAATCAAACCTCTGCCCGTCAGGGAAACACAAAGTGACAGCGTACATCCCTCTGTTCCCGGGCGTGCGGAGGACCCACATCTTGCCTTGTATTTATTTGTTCGTTTGCTTGTTTATTGCTAAGGAGCCACCCTGGGGCCTCGCACTCCTCCTCCACCTTTTAAATGCATGCCTGTCCACAGCTGAATTTCTTGGAGGGGCTGGTCAGGTTTCTCTCCAGCTCAGGATTGCTTTCCATTCCCAGCCCCTCCCTTCTCTGTCCAGCTAAGAAAAAGAGGCTTAGCCTGAGGCCACGTTAATGCTCCTCTGTCCAAGCAGTGAGCTCAGTGGTGGGAGGCCACGGGGTGGCAGAGGCCAAATCGGCCCTTTCTGAGGCCCCCAGGCCTGTGAAGCCACCTGTGTGACTGCCCTCAGCCCGGCTGTCCGGAGGCCAGGACTTCCCCCCACCCATGCCATGGGCAGCCTTGCAAGGACGAGGCGTGAGAAGCCAGGGACCCCAGGGGAGCTGAGCTGAGGAGCCAAGAGTCCCCAGCCAGAGCCTCACCAAAACTGGAAAGTCCACTGTAGGAGAAAACTCATTTTCAAATAAAAACTGCTAACAGTAACAGATTTGGGTCATGAGATCCATGTAATTACATGATTATACCATCTTGCAACCCAAAAGAGATCGGTGATTTGTGACACAAATGCAGCCTGGTTTCTGTATCCACAGTTCCACGTCTGCAGATTCAACCAACCACAAGCTGAAAATATATTTTTAAACTGTATCTGACCTGAATACTTGCAGACTGCTTTTGTCATTTTCCCTGAACACTACAGTGTAACAGCTGTTTGCACTGCACTTGCATTACATAGGTAGTGTATGTAATCTAGCAATGATTTAAAGTATATGTGAGGATATGCACAGTTTATGCAAATGCCTCATCATTTTATATGAGGGACTGGAGCATCCTCAGAATTTGTTATCCAGGGGGCCCTGGGGCCCGTTCCCTGCAGATTGAGGGACAGCTGCATATTAAGTCACACAGGCAGTGAAGGGACTGACTCCAGGATGTAAGTTTGCTCTGGATCGGTTTCACTGGGGAGGGCTGGGTGTTTTTCGCAGCAGGGTGAAGGCTGAATGGTTTGTAAAGCACACCTTTTCCTTTGCCTCCTCTCTGTGGGGTCGGGCCAGGACACAAGGGATGGAGCCTTCTGCTACAGGGTACAGCTGGCCAGGACACTAAGGCATTTGTTGTGGTTTTTTCGTTTGTTGGGTTTTGGGGGGGGGGGTTGGCTCTGGAGATCGGACTTGAGACCTTGCGGTTGCGAAGCAGGAGGCTGACGACTGAGCTAAATCCTAGGCCATTTGTGGTATTTCTTTAGCAGGGAGCAGAGAACAGAATTAAAAGGCACTTCTTAACATCTTGGGTATCCATTTATATACGAGTGTGTACATGTGTGCAGTATGTGTGTGGATGCATTCATGCAATACAGAACTACAGTTGTAGCTACAGCCTTTTAGCATCCATAGTTCGTTCGTCTTCACTGCCGTTGCCTGCCCCGGACTTGCTGAGGGTCTTCCCTCCTGTCTTTCCCCGAGTAGGAACCCAGTTGGCGTCCTTGGAGTTGAGGTCACACATGTGAGGGACACACGTAGGTGGGCTGGAGGCCTGGGAGTTGGGCCCAGGAATTACATGAGAACTGTAGACAGATTGTTGGGCCCGCCCAAGTGTATCCCTCCTGCCAGATCCCAAGTCCCTGCACACACACCCGTGTGAACACACACGCCCCCGGGCTCCGGCCATGCCACTCAGTCTCAGGTAGGTGGCCCTGTAGTTGCACCCCCTCTCCCCACGTTTCATGCGGCTTCTCTCATCCCCACGCAGGACAACCGCGAGCGCGAGGCGCAGGAGTCGAGGCAGCTGCAGCGGCTGAAAGCCACGGAAGAGAGGCGGCATCACTGGGCGGCTGCGGAGCTCGGGGCCTTTGGCCGCAGCAGCAGTGAGAACGACGTGGAACTGCTGACCAACAAGGGTGCCGAGGACCAGGCGCCTTTCCTGCGCCCCGGGACCGAAAGCTCCTCCTCCCGCCCCCCCAACACCCTGCGCTCCCGCCATTCCCTGGGCATCTCGGCCGAGCGCGAGCTGCTGACCTTCCTGGAGAGGGCCACCACCGGCTGCCCGGAGGAGCCCAAGTTCAACAGCCTGCCCCGGAGCAGGGCACGGCAGGCTCGGCCTGCGGTGGCCAGGATGCAGCCCGGGGAGGCAGGGGACCGCCACCTGCCCTCTGTGCACAGGCCTCAGGCCTCTCCGGCCGGCCCGGAGCGAGTCCCCGAGCCGCCCTGCCCGTGGCGAGGCCAGCCGCCGCCCGGGCCCGAGGAGCAGGCCTCCGCCGTCCCCCGAGCTCGGCGCGGCGGACTTGGCGCGCTCCAGAAGAGGAACAGCGAGCCTGCAGGCCTGGGCCCCGCGGGGACGCCTGCGCTCCCGTCCCTGGCTCTGGGCGTCCAGGAGCACGAGCTGGTGGCGGGGCTGGCCCAGTTCAGCCTGGAGGACCCCAAGGGCCGCCAGCAGCCAGCGCGCCTGGCCCAGCGTGACGCTGGCCCAGGGGCGTCTCCGGGGCCCGGGACCCCGCCGGCCCCCAGTGCTGGCAGCGACCGCGTGACACCCGTGAGCAGCGGACCCCAGGAAGGGCCCGGCCCGGCCCCGGAGGCGGACACCGCAGAGCCCGGCGGCAAGGCCTCGGGGTCTGTGGGGAGCGGCGCCCCTGAGGACGGGGACCCCGGGCCGTGCCACGTCTCGGACACGACCGACTGCTCGCTGAGCCTGGACTGCTCGGAGGGAGTGGAGCCCCGGCCAGGAGGCGCGCGGCCGGGCGAGGACACGGGGGCCCTCCAGGCCTCTCCCCTCCCGGCTTCCAGCCCCGCCGGGGAGGCTCCTGCCCCTGACTCCGTGAAGAGCGAGCCCGCCTGCAAGGCCGGCCTGGCCAGGGACCGGCTCGCCAAAGGGAAGGAGGCCTCCGTGCCAAAGCGCAGCTCCCTGCGGGAGGCGCCTCCGGGGACCGCCAAGCCGGGCAGCGCGCGGCGCAGCGCCGGGACCGCGACCAAGCCGGTGCGGACCCTGACGGCGTCCGAGAGCCAGAGCATGCGCAAGGTGGTGCCCATCTCCAAGGCCGGCCGGGCGCCCTCCGCGGGGACCGAGGACCAGCGGCCGACGCGGGGCAGCGGCGGCGCCCGGCCCGGGAAGGAGGCCGCGCTGCAGCCCAAGGGCTCCCTCAGGAAGCCCAGTGCCAAGCCGCTCAGGAACGTCCCGCGACCCAAGCCCGAGGACAGCAAGCTCAGCTTCTCCCCAGCCCAGCGCCCCGAGGAGAAGCCCAAGACCTCCCCGGCCCGCGGCCCGCCCTCCACCCCTGGCTTTGCGCGCAGCACCTTCGCCTCCTCGTCGCGCTGCGTGAGGACAGATGCCACCCCCGCGGCTAGGACGCCCGGCCTCACGCGGACAGTCTCCCAGAGGCAGCTCGGGCCCAAGGGCGGCCCCGAGGACGCTGCGCCCAAGGACAGCGGCCCCCTGAGGCGCGCCAGCAGCGCCCGGGTCCCCAAGAAGGGCGCAGAGTCCACTGAGGGTCCCGGGGCCGTCTCGGGCAGGGCGGCCCCCAGGCGGCAGAGCTCAGGGCGGACGGCGCTGGGCAGGATCCTGCATCCCCTGGGCAAGTGAGGGGCTCGCCGCGGCGTTCCCACGGCGAACGAAGACTGCCTGCCCGGCTAGGGCTACGGTGCGAGAGGACACCGCCCAGCGTCTGCTAGGCGGCGCCAAAGCCGGTGACGCCCGTCCGACTGGCACCGGAGGAGCCGGGTGGCACGTGGGTCCCCACCGGCTCAGGCCCTTCTCCTCTCCTTCCCGCAGAGCAGAGGCCCCCGAGATGACCTGGAAGGTGACACTCCTGTGTAACAAGGGAATAGTTTTTCTGGCCAGTTTGTGTATATCGAAGACTTTTTTTAAATACTGTATTACGAAAATAAAATGTTTCGGTTGGTTCCTTTGCACAGTGAAGTGGCTCCCAGGGACATTACCGGGGTCCCCTGGCCTCCCCGAAGCCCCTGATGGGTTAGATGGGCCCTGGCCCCTCTGGCTGAAGACTGGCTTGCTCCTCGCCCCTTGAGTGACTCTGGTGAGGGTTGGAGTGGGGACAGGAGGGGACCTCAGACCAGGCGCGCTGTGTTGGGGCGCCCTGGCCTGAGCCGGCTCAGTGGGATGCAGGTGTGGCTGCAGGAAGCCCACCCTGCAAATGTGCGAGAGTTTCCCGAATCTCACGGTGCTAGCGGGAAAACATCAGGGCTTCTCCGCCAAGCACGCTTTTCCTGTTGTTTCCACATTGGTGTATCTGTCATAAAACTGAGTGAAGGCTGCGGACGCATCTTCGCTCCCGTGACAGGGCAAAGCCAGGCCTCTGTCCCTGGACGTCCTTCTCCCGTTTCTCTCCCTCTCCGAGCTGACCCTTCCTGATGGTACCTGGAGCCTGGCGGGGGGCCCTGCCCTCTCCCACACCCACCTCCAGTTCCTTCTCCTGATACTTTTTAATGTTGGCATCTCTTCCTTGTTCTTCAAATCCTGAGGAAAACCTAATCAGGTTGGGTTTTTTTAAAGCAGGTCAAAAATTGAAACTGATTTACATCATCAGGAAATTTCGAGGGGAAAAAATCAGGCTTCATTTGAAAGAAAGTCCGATTTCTACTCAACGCCTGTTTCACTACCTCTCCCTGAGACTTGGGAAGTGAGGGAAATCTTGAAACATCTCTGTTTTAGAAGTTGCTCCCCTCCTTCACTTTGGGTCACCTACTAGTAAAACCTCGTCTGAGGTCCCGCATGGGTAGCCCGATGGATTTAGGCAAACGTGATGCATTCGTGGTGAGTCTATGTGTTACAGTCGTCTCTAGAACGTTACTGGAAACTGAGCTGCTGAGCTGTCGATAAAGTAAGGGGTTGAAGAATTAAGGCCCTGCCCACGCACCTCTTGTTAAAAGCAGTCCCAGACAGGTATGTCCAGGGCTCCTCAAGATGTATATGGGAATCCTGAGCAGATTTTCATGGCCTTAAAGACTAAGATATCATATATCTCTCCAGGTAGATGGAAATGTCCCAAACACCAGGCCCGTGGATGGAAGGGGTCATAAGCTTTTGGACTTGTGGGTATCGAAGGGCCTAGAACTCCTAGGAGGGACCTGCTCTGGGCTGATGCTGCATGGCCAGTCAGCTCCTCCCCCAGCGTCAGTCTCCCAGTCCACACCCAGGGGTTTATGGCCTCCCTGTTGGTCTCTAAAGGTCCTTCCAGCCCCAAGGCCCTGTCTTTGCCTGGGGTGAGCCTCCCTAAGCAGAGGCTGCCCCAGGGGCTACTCAGAAGGAAGCCTCACAGAGAGGCTTGGTGCTGAGGTCATGCAGGCGGGGTCACCCAGGAAGTGTTGTTCCCCTCTCCCCGGGGACAGCCAGGTGCATCTGTGTGAGCAGATGATCATTCTATTACCTTTTATCGGTAGTAAGCTTGGGAAAATAATTTAAGTATACGGTGGAGAATTGTAAATATGTTTCTATATGCATTTGTTGAAGATGAACTGAATGTATTTAAAGGTCCATTTATATGTGCTTTTATGTAACAGCTAGTTTAATAAAGTTCCTGTTTATGGAAGTTGTGCTTAATCTTGTCCTCTTTCGTGGATGTGTCAAAGCCATACTGCTGGGAGGGTGTTTAATTTCCTGCCCAGAGAGAAGGTGGGAAATTAAATAAAGGAGCAAGGAAGGGCTGGGATCCAGCAGTCATGTCCTACAAAGACTCAAGAGCCAAAATGAGGCCGTTGGCAGTGTGTCTTCTTGGTGTTGGTGGCACAGGACATACACAGAGTGGAAGTCGTGGGGAGTGGGCTCTGCCCCAGACCCAAGGGGTGCAGGCTCGCATCTGCCCAGGCCACCAATGGAACCTGCATGCCTCCCACAGAATCGCGGTAGTCCAGGTTGGGCCGGTTTTGTGTAATCTCTGAGAGGCCAGCAAGTCTGGATCTGCTCCTGCATCTGGTCTTGCATGTTGGCACAGGACCCATTGGGAAATCGCATCTCACCTCTGTGGCTGGCTCAGGAATGAGCAGAGGGCGGGAGACAGCACTGCATCTCAGATCCGTTGGCACCAATGTCCAAAGAAAGACACATCCTGCCCAAGATGCATTCCTTGGACCTCAGCTTTCATAGCAGTTTAGTCCTAGCCACTGTCCTGCTCTGTCTGAAGGTGGGTTAGAGGCATATCCTTGGCCAAGACATCACAGAGGACAGAGTAGGTGATGTTCTTCTCTAGTTGCTGCACAATTCCTGGACAACCACAGCCTGGTTTTGCCTGGCTCATAGGCAGTTTGGGACACCAGTCTCCCCCGTACCTTCCTCCTTGCTGGTCAGAGGTTACTGCATCACACACACACACACACACACACACACACACACACACACACACTCCGGAGTTCTTTATCTTCCCAGTAGGCTTTAAGAAAATTTCATTTTGGGCTGGGGATTTAGCTCAGCAGTTATAATGTCTGCCTTGCAAGTGTAAGGTCCTGAGTTTGATCCCTGGTACCAAAAAAAAAGAAAATTTCATTTTACCCCTTTCTTGCGGGTTCCAGTCCTCATCCCAAAAATACACATTGAATTTAAGCAGCCACTGTTTCCTATTTTTCATTCAATGTTCAGCATATCTGTGTGTTACGATGGGAGGCCCTAGAATAAATTCCTCAAGAGTAATTAATGCATCACCTGAGGTATACAAATTCATGAATGTCTGCATCCAAATGTGCAGAATGTTTCCTCTCATCTGACAATGATGACATTTTGTAAGTTCACAGAATTTTCCATTGAAACTTACACTTCGTTCAGTATATACTTTTTTCTTTCTGCCATGCTGGGGATCAAACCCAGAGCTGCCTCTATGGTAGCCAAGGGCTCTACTACGAGGGTATATCCCCAGCCCTTCATTATTGCTTTACGATTCAGCTCTGACCAAAAAAAGCCTTTTTTTTTTCTAGTATGTGTCCCTAAACACCTATAAGGCATCAAAAATAAGGTCCAAATTTAGATAAAGGATGTAGCATCTGGTCACTCCAGGCGTTCTTAAATTATCTGGGCTATGAGCACAGTGGGTCTGCAAAGTCACCCCACTCAGCATCCAGGAACTAAGAAGTGCAGCTCAGACTGGGTTGGAATCATAACCCAGGGTACCTTCTCCCTGGGGGCTTTCGCATCTGCCTGAATCCCAGCTGGAGCGAGCTACGCCTCATTGGGTCGCCTGTGTGAAGACAAAGATAACATTCTTGCAGTTGAAAAAAGTGCCTTTTCTGTCTTCTGGGCCAGAGCGCTGCAGTGGGGCTTTGGGCTTCCCCGTTGGTGGGATGAACAATTGGACTCCACTGCAAGAGGGGCCGTGCTCTCGAGCAGCCTTTGCCAGGCCCAGGAGCCCAGCCTACCCTGCTGCCACCCTGAGCGCAGACACCCCAGCCCTTCTGAAAGGATGTCCGTCTGAAGCCCCCACTGGTGAGTTCATGTTGGGTGCCTGGAATCAGGTCCTGGGCTTTGCCTGGCCTCCTTGGGAACATTCGGGGGTTGCATCTCACAGGTGGTCCCCAGAGCGTAAGCCGATGGTGTCCTCGAGCTGGTTTGCAACCTGAGGAGGTCAGAATGCTCGTTTCCTCCGCCACCATGCCGAGTCTTGCAGGTCAGTTTTCCAGGAACCTATCTAACCCTCTGCTGTGCTCTGAATGTTGGTTGTCCCGAATTCCTGTGTTGAAACCCTAACCCGAAGGCCTGTAGGAGCTCTTGTGGCCTTTGCACCCTGGGAGGACACAGCAAGAAGACACATGAAGAAGGCTGTGAACTGGGAAGCAAGCTTCACCAGACAGCAGACCTCCCTGATCCTAGACTTCAGCCCCCAGACTGTGAGAAATAGATTTCTGCTCTTTGTAAGCCATTTGGTCTAGGGTATTTTGTCATAACAGCTTGAATGGACCATGATACCATGTGCTGGTGAACCACAGAAAAGAACGCCTCTTACAGAACTAGTTCTCGGGGGCAGGGCTAGGCACACCAGGAACATTTCTCCCCCTTTTCAGACGTCAAGGAAAGGCTCAGGTGTTACAAGTTGAGGGGGTTAGGAGCCAACCTTTCCATTCTTGAGGTCAGTCCCTCTGGCCGAATGTAACAGGGGTCCCATCTCTTGGCGAACCCCAGGAAATGTGGGCCACTGCTGTGTCTGTGACTTCTGTCTGTCCATCCATGCTCCCCAATGGAGAGAGAGCACATCTGCTCACCAGCAGCATGCATGCCCTCGGCTTTCACTTCCAAGGGATGCTGGACTCAGCCCTCGCCTTTTGGGCTTCCAAGGAGAGGCGGTCAGAGGCTGTGCAAGGTCACTGTGTGGCCAGGGCCAGGGTCTCAGGGGCCACAGATGGCTGGCAGCTGGGCCAGTAGACCCTCGTGCAGGCAGGGTGCCGGCTGCAGACAGCAAGCCTGGGTGCCCCTGGGGCCTTAGACTGGCGGTGCCAGGGCACCCAGAGGGCTCACAGTGTGCAGTGCCCCCTGGGCAACAGCATCACCCAGCTTGGTGAGTCCTGGTCTCACCTGAGGCGGGGCCAGTCAGACTCTCTCACTGGCCCCAACATTGGCATTTCAAGAAACTTCCCAGTGATTTGCTTTCTCCTGCGGTTGAGAACCAGTGGGCTGCAGAGAAGCCAGAGGGCTGACTGGCAAAAATTCCAGGACTCAGACCTGGGCTGCAGAGCCCAGACTAGGTCCCTCTCCGAGCCTGCATTTCTCCCTGAGCAGGAAGTGTTCAGGTGTTTGCCCTGAGCTCAGCACCTGACTGGGAGCTCAGGCTGCTCCAGGAGAGCTGAGACACTCCCCTCACTTGGATCTTAAAGAGAAGACCTCCAGCCACATGCCTGGCCACGCCTCTGCATCTGAACTTTCAGCAGAGCAGCACTAGAGTTCCAGAAGGATGGCTCCAGGGGACAGAGGAAGTGCCACTTCACTGCAGTCTCACAGTGGCAGTCTTGCAGGAAAACCATGACATAGTGCATGGGAAGCGAGTTGCTAAGAAGTGCCGAGCAGTGCCACGCCTCGTCTAAGTGCCCACAGTTGCTCTCTGGGCCCCTCTTCCCTGGTCTCTTGGGTCCCAAGCTTGCCACTGCCAGGAACTTTGGCAATGACCGCAGCTCCTCCCCTTTTGGGGTATGGGGCCAGGCAGAGCCCAGAGCCACCCCATTAGAAGGGGGTTGGGGTGCAGCTCTCCAGGGTGCTGACTCCACACGGCAAGGGAGTTGTGTGCACATGCGCAGAAGAGATGCGGAAAACCACCCCCAGCCTATTTGAGGGCGTGGAAGCCCTCCCTGGAAGGACTGGGCCCCTTCTTTCCAGAGTGGTCAGCGTGGAGCAATTTACCTCTTTCATCACCTCTGTGTGGCAGATGGTTCCCCCTCCGTCTGAGAAAGTTGCCGAAAGGAGCCAGGCAGTCTCGCTACTTTCAGGGAAAACCTTTTGACCAGTTTGGGCAAGTGCAGACGAACAGTTTGAGCTCACTGGGGTGAAAATGATGGTTCCCCTTTGGAAGTTCCCCGGGCAGAAAGAACAGTGCCTCCATTCACCCATGGCTCTCGGTCAGCTGCGTCTCCTTTCCCGAGGCATCAGTGCTTCCCAGAGGCTGATTCATCCCCAGGGAGGAGAGGGAAGAGGTGGGCCGCCTGCAGGGCTGTCTTCTCCACCACCCAGCAGAGCCAAGAGACAGCAGAAGGGCCTCCCCACCCCACAGGGCCTCCCACTCCCTGGTTCAAGATCAGCTCCGACACAATAGACGTCGGAGTCACTCGGTAAGCAGCTGGATAAGGCACCTGATTGTTCAGAACCCTTTCCCAAACCCCTGCTTTCTCAACCAGCTCATCATGGGTTGACTCTGGCTAGAACTTGTCTCCCAAGAAGCTTTGGGCTTTGCAGACAGTTACGCAACATTCTCCCACCACCCCAGCCTCCAAGCCAGAAGGGAAACGTCCTTCCTCCTTGTCAACGGAAGAACCCATTCTGCGGGTAAAAGGGGACATGTGAACTGGTGGTCTCATGTGGCTCCCAAAAGCACCATCTTGGACCACCTTCATGGAGCCACATTCCCAGCATGACTCAGTCCACTCCTGGACACAGCCTCGGGATGACCACCTTTCAGGAAGGACCTGGATGAGCTAGAGCAGCACAGCCCAGGGCCTGGCCACCGAGTTTAAGGTTGAGCAGCTGAGGCCACCAAGAATGTTCAAACTGGGAAAGGCGAGGAAGAAGCTGGTGGTGGAATTGTTCTGTCTCATTTCAAAGAACAAGGGACATAAGTCCTCAGGCGAAGGATGAACTGATACCAACACTGCCTGCCGCCTGCCTGGGCTGGGCTTCTATGTCCCTTCCACTGGAAGACTCCAGCCCTGTGGAGTGACTATCCGAGACTCAGCTGCTGAGTGGAAGGCCACTCTTGCTGTGCAGGGAACATGTCCTGGTAGGGCCAGCTGTGCCTGAGTGTGTCATGAGAAGAAGCCCTATGGCCACAAAGCACTGCTCACAGTGTGGGGCCTGCTGTTGCCTGGGGCAGCATCTGTTTATTCCTCT